GAATATAAGAATATATTAATAGTGTAGACAAGATGACATGGTCAGAATGCACATGCATGCACGTGCGCGCATGCGCATTGATTAAAATAACCAATACAATTGATATAGACTTAACTTGTACATTTTTTGATGAATTGCTTTGACACACAGAATATAAATATATATTAGAAGTGTAGACAAGAAGACTTGATCAGCGCACACATGCATGCACGTGTGTGCACGCGCGTGCGCGTGCAATGAGTAAAATGACAAATATACTTGATATAGCCATAACTTTCAACTCATTTGATGAAATGCTTTGATACTCAGGATATCAGGATATATTAATAGTGTAGACAAGACGACATGGTCAAAATGCACATTCATGCACGTGTGCGCATGCGCAATGATTGAAATAACCTATACGAATGATATAGACTTAACTTGTATATTTTTAGATGAATTGCTTTGAAACTCAGAATATAAGTATATATTAGAAGTGTAGACGAGATGACATGATCAGCGCGCACATGCATGCATTTGCATGCACGTGCGTGCGCGTGCAATGAGTAAAATCACCAATATACTTGATATAGCCATAACTTTTACATTTTTTGATGTTATGCTTTGATACTCAGAATATATAGACATATTATAAATGTAGACAAGACGACATTGTCAACATGCATAGGCATGCACGTGCGCGCGCATGCAATGCTAAAATGACCAATATACTTGATATAGCTGTAACTTTTATACTTTTTGATGAAATGAATTGATACCCGAAATATGTAGATATATTTATAGTGTTGACGAGATGACACGGTCATCGTGGACATGCATGCACGTGCGCGCGCATGCAATGCGTAAAATGACAGATATACTTAATATAGCCGAATTTTTTTTTTCTTTTAATGAAATTTGAATATAAAGATGTATTAAAAGTGTAGACAAGTTGACATGGTCATTTTGTACATGCATGCCTGTGCGCGCGTGTGTAATGCGTAAAAAAAACCCAATATACTTGATTGCCTTATTTAATGAAGCTTACAGGGAATAAGACACCAAAAGGAAGTTGGGGAGCGTTTGGGGAACATCTGTAACGGTCCCCGTTACAATTAATACTAGTTTTATATTATTTTTTCTTTGAAAGACTTGTTGTAGTCGTATAACAGAGTAGAAACAATACTGGGTATGGATGATTTTTTTTTCAGTATATAATGGTATATATATCAATCAGTATGATGATATGAAAGTGGACATAGAAAAAAGATTTTGATGCAGTTCAATAGCACTCACCAAAATAAATCAGCAAATGAAGTTTGACAAAAATATCTTGATTTTTTACTTAAAACTGAACTAAATAGAAATTTAAGAAAAGTGAGGTTTAGGTCAAAAGAAAAGTCAAGGTAAAAAAAATGTTGAAGTTGAATAGCTCTCATCTATATGTATCAGCATATGAGGTTCAATAAAAATATAATTTCTCTGAAACTGAACTAAACACTAATTTAGGAAGTAAGGCCAGGGTCAAAGGAAAGGTAAAAAAAAATGTTGATGAAGTTGAATAGCTCTCACAAATTGTAACAGTGTACAAGATTTGATAAACAAGAGGCCCAAGGGCCTTAACGGTCACCTGAGAATAATACAACAATTTAGAAGTTAAATACACTGGTAGATGAAACTTTGTTGCCCTAAAGCAATAGAAGTAGGAAGATCAGGATCAACAAAATAATTAGTCTAGTATTCAGTATCAACTCATAAATTAAGTTCTAATCTGTCCCCCACTTAACACTTTCACCATGCAGACTATTAACAAACTATTAGTGCTTCTGTACTATTTTTAAACCCATATTAAGACCTTTAGCATTGACCTCTCTTATGGTCTTTGAAGAACTTTAATTTAATAAGATAAGTTATTTTTGTCTCATTTTTATTTATCTATTACTTACAGGTCTACATGATTATTAAAACTAAGAAAGTACTTTTTGAATTATATGATAAACATTCTTGCATAATTATCTTGTTCTATTAACCTTTCAAATACATTATTTACAGTGATTAATTATCAAAGGTGAATGGAAAAGGGGAATAACTCCTCTCAGTAGAATACAAATTAATAGAGCCTTGCCCAGGACCAGAATGCTTAGACAAATGGTCCAGATGTTCAAAAATCTGGTAGAAATACGCTTACTTATATCATTTAAACTTTTACTCAGTTTTCTTCCAATATGCCCAGAGGCAGAGAAGAATTTCACAGGTACAATGCATTTTCACTACAGATTCAACAAAGCCTTACCCTAACACCAGAACCCAAGACCAAGGGTCAAGAAATTTACAAATTTGGAAGAGTTACCCTCATCATCATAACTATGGACTTCAAAGAATTAACACTTTTCCACTATATTATCAAAAGCCCCCCCCCCCCCTCGTTATGCCTGAACCCCTGGCCCTAGGACCACAAGATTTAAAAATTCTGTTCGAAGCTCCCATTTTCATCATAGCTAAGCAATTTATTTATCAGCTCAACACTAAGGAGCAGACAGGATTAATAAATGATTAATTAATAGAATTAATGCTTTTTCACTATATAATCAATAGAGCCCCCCCCCCCTTCCTCAAGAACCCCAAAAACTGAGGCCATATATTTAAAAATTATGGAAGAGGCATCCTTGCCTATCATAATCATGCACTTAGTTTGTTTAAATAATCTCCAGTAGCAGAGAAGAAGATTTTCAAAGAATCAATGCATTTTCACTATATAATCAATAGAGCCCTGTTCTAACACCAGAACCCCTGACCCTGGGGCCATGAAATTCACAATTTTTGAAAAGGCATCCTTATGCATCATAACCATGCACTTAGTTTGTTTAAATAATCTCCAGTAGCAGAGAAGAAGATTTTCAAAGAATCAATGCATTTTCACTATATAATCAATAGAGCCCTGTTCTAACACCAGAACCCCTGACCCTGGGGCCATGAAATTCACAATTTTTGAAAAGGCATCCTTATGCATCATAACCATGCACTTAGTTTGTTTAAATAATCTCCAGTAGCAGAGAAGAAGATTTTCAAAGAATCAATGCATTTTCACTATATAATCAATAGAGCCCTGTTCTAACACCAGAACCCCTGACCCTGGGGCCATGAAATTCACAATTTTTGAAAAGGCATCCTTATGCATCATAACCATGCACTTAGTTTGTTTAAATAATCTCCAGTAGCAGAGAAGAAGATTTTCAAAGAATCAATGCATTTTCACTATATAATCAATAGAGCCCTGTTCTAACACCAGAACCCCTGACCCTGGGGCCATGAAATTCACAATTTTTGAAAAGGCATCCTAATGCATCATAACCATGCACTTAGTTTGTTTAAATAATCTCCAGTAGCAGAGAAGAAGATTTTCAAAGAATCAATGCATTTTCACTATATAATCAATAGAGCCCTGTTCTAACACCAGAACCCCTGACCCTGGGGCCATGAAATTCACAATTTTTGAAAAGGCATCCTTATGCATCATAACCATGCACTTAGTTTGTTTAAATAATCTCCAGTAGCAGAGAAGAAGATTTTCAAAGAATCAATGCATTTTCACTATATAATCAATAGAGCCCCGTTCTAACACCAGAACCCCTGACCCTGGGGCCATGAAATTCACAATTTTTGAAAAGGCATCCTTATGCATCATAACTATGTACTTAGTTTATCACCTTAATGCCCAGGAGCAGAGAAGAAGATTTTCAAAGAATTAATGCATTTTCACTATATAATCAATAGAGCCCCGCCCTTACACCAGAACCCCTGACCCTGGGGCCATGAATTTCAGAATTTTGGAAGAGGCACTCGTGCTCTTCATAACTATGTACTTAGTTACTTTATTCAATACCCAGGAGCAGAGAAAAAGATTTTCAAAGAATTAATGCATTTTCACTATTTAATCAATAGATCCCTGCCCTTACACCAGAACCCCTGACCCTGGGGCCATGAATTTCACAATTTTGGAAGAGGCACTCTTGCTCATCATAACTATGTACTTAGTTACTTTATTTAATACCCAGGAGCAGAGAAGAAGATTTTCAAAGAATTAATGCATTTTCACTATATAATCAATAGAGCCCCGCCCTAACACCAGAACCCCTGACCCTGGGGCCATGAATTTCACAATTTTCAAAGAAATAATGCACTTTCACTATATGATCTATATAACCCCACCCTGGGGACAGAACCCCTGACCCTGGGGCCATGAATTTCACAATTTTGGTAGAGGGCTCAATGCTTATTACAATGATGCCAACAGTTTGACTGCTTGATGTCCTGGAGTAAAGAAGAAGATTTTTAAAGATTGCATTATTTTTGGTGGTTTTAGCCCCACCCCTCAGGCCCTGGGGGGGGGGGGGGGGGCAGGGACCATGAAATTCACAATTTTTGTTCCCCTTCACCCATAGATGCTATATGCCAAATTTGGTTGAAATTGGTTAAGGGGTTTCAGAGAAGAAGCTAAAAATGTTCATGCAAATGTTAACACACGACGCACACCGACGGACGAGAACGGATAGCAATAGGTCACCTGAGTGACTCAGGTGACCTAAAAATACAGTTGAACTTCAGTATCTCAAACATGGATAGCTCAAATACCATGGATATGTTGAAGTGATTGGGAAGTCCTAACCATGTATTTCTTAAGTACTTTACCCTCAATATCTCGAACCCTCAGATTTCTCTCGTTTTTTTCTCGGTCCCATCGAGTTTGAGATAACAACATTTTACTGCATCTTAAATAGTTTTTTGAAACTGAACTCAACACAAATTTTTGAAAAGTGAGCTTAGTGTCAAAAGAAAGGTCAAGGTAAAAAAAAATGATTAAAAATGATTTGAAATATTGTATGATGAAAAGAGTGGTATCTGAAACCATTACATTAACAGCAAGGAGCCCACAACATTATAGAAGCTGATAAACTTTACTTATTATTAGTTGAACCCTAATTGCTAAAATTCATATTCCAAAAAATATGACAACTCAATTTGGGGTAAATAATGATTTATTAATCCACTGTTAAAACATTCCTACTTCATTCACAAACTGGCTTAAGCAAAAAAATTGTATTTATAATCAAGTTTATCTTAATATATCTTTTTATAGTATAATTTATAATCACATAAAACATACCAATGTTTTGACTGAAAACAAATAATGGGCAGCCTATAAGCAGTAAACATCTTGCTCTTTAGAATTCCAAAAATAAGCTCATAAAGCAAAGAAAAGATACTGGCGATGACGATGCCTGAAACTATAACATTAATTTGCAAAATCAAGAAATGATTGCTGATTTTTGGGGTACAGTAGTTTTGGCTATAAATAGATGTAGCTCTTTGCATGACAATAATACAGAGATACTTTCTGAAATGAACATAAGGCACATTACTGTGAATATTTTGTGAATGACTGAAAAATCATTAAATGCTGAACTGAATTTTTAAGTAAATCTAAATGCATATATCAACCCTGACTGTTAAAAGTTATTAGTATACTGCTTCTAAATTATTGCATATATACAGTATAATTACAAATGACAGCCTGGCTTTAAAGTTAATACTTCTGAAAAAGTGAGATTCATTGCCGAAATGCTGGCACCCTGTGACCCAATACATGAACTATAAAGGTAATCAACTATGGTGTCACCATGTTTTTACATGTAAAACATAATATCAATGGACTAGCATGAAGGCTGGCTACTGCGACCTTCATATTTATATGATATGTTATAACATGCTAATATTTCTACAGCTTACAACAGCACTTCTGAACAATAGAATTTTTTATAGAAGTGATTGACACCAATTTTCATTAAAAATATCCATTGTCATTAATCTATTTTTTGGCACAAATCTTAACAATTTTCAAAATTTTGTATATCACATCTATGTTGAACATCATGCACAGGAGGAGGTGGTTCCAGTCCAGTGGCCATGGATGGAGGGATCTAAGATTATCAGGTGTGGATCTTTATCTGGTGTGTTTCTTGCAGTAGGGTTTACCTCCTTTGGCATAGAAAGGCTGACCTTCTAGATTGACTCCACAGGTCTGAAAAGTAGACTCATAGGTATTAACAGTCACTTGAGTAGATGTATTATGCTGCAAAATTTTTCTTGGAATAATCTCTAAACATAAGTCCCCAGTATCTCATAAGCTTCCATAATTTCTTTTACAAACTTAAGACCTAGATGAAAAATGTCTTCCATGTTAAAAAAAAGAAAGCATTGAGCAGATGATGCAGTCATTTTACTTACTGAACAATTAAAACACTCCGAGTGGAAGTTGTTGCCCATGGCCTCTACCCAGTGGTCCCCAGGTTCGATGGGGAAGTCACATCCCTTGCACATAGTCTGGAACATTTGCCTCCAGTCTGAAGGTTTCAAAATAGATAATTCATAATGATGTGCAAAAAGGTATGTAAAAAAATAAATCAATAATGAGAGCAAGATAATGGGAGTAAATACTATAAGAACTTAAAAAGGCAGGGATTTTTTACCAGGTGGTAAATTCCAGGTGAGGGTGGGGCTTATTTTGTACAAGTGTGAATACCTTGAGGGCTAGCAGTCTACCTGTGGTCATTTGTCTCCTAATCCCTATACACTGGCAGTGATTTAATACACAATACATGGGTGCACTACATGAATAGAACTTTGACTTCCTCTACATTGCAAGTGAACCATATTCTGTGCCATTGCACACAGATTTGTGTATGTAGCAGTAATGAGTTGTTTTTGCCAATTGTCTTATTGATAATATGTTGTGGTAATGAGCACCCAAAATTTCAATGAACAAGCTAATTAGAGAATTTGTATCTCCCTCTTAAGGAAAAAAGTAGAACATGCATGGATCAGGGGGGGGGGGGGGGTGTCGGGGGGTCCAGACCCCCCCCTCCCCCCTTGGATTTGCAGATTATTAACTGTATATACTGAAGCAAATAAAAATTACTTTGGACCCCCCACATGTCATAACTACTGGCATGAAATTAGGCGCAGATCCAAATACTTTGTGCTTTATGTGTTATTCACCTCTTCTCATTGGCCTTTTTCTACATACCGGTATATTTTTTTTCATCTGACCAACAAATACTTGTAATTTATCTGAAAATATCACAGATTTCCACTGTCCTCGTAACATCCAATTTCTTCGTTCTTGACACATTTGATATTGTCAAAATTTTCCAAAAAACATGTCTAATTTAGCCTTTACTTAACAGTTCTTACACTAATAGATTTACCATGTAATTATATAAAGTTTGCCAATAACCTGTATTATATGTAATAACTCTCCATATGCTCCTGTGCTAAAAATAGTGCACACAACTTTTAATACAAACAGGGAGTAACTCTAAAACTTTGATCATGATCGATGCCAACAAACTTCCAATTAACTTTTGATAAAAAAAAATTGATCAAGATAAAAAAAAAACAAACAGACGGACACTTTGAGAGGGGCTGGGTGGGGCCAAAGGGAGTTATGGTATAAAATTTCATTGCAAAAGCTTTTTGAGATATCCCCCAGAAACAAAACAGTTACACACAGACAGAATATATGAATTTATGTCCTTGACCTTTGACCTTGACCTCAATTTATATAGGGGTCTTTCTTAGGCTATGTGGAGTTGTGGTATAAAATTTCATTGCAAAAACTCAAAGGCTTCTCGAGATATCGCCCGGAAACCAAAGTGTTATAACTGACAGAATTTATGACCTTGACCTTTGGACCTCAAAATGGATAGGGGTCTTCCTTAGCCATAGAGAATTTTTATGTAAAATTTCATTGCAAAAGCTCAAAGGCTTCTCGAGATATCATACAGAAACGAAAGTGTTACAGATGGACAGAAATACTGACAGACAGTTAGACAGATAGACAAACAGACCCAAATTAATATCCCCCACTTTCAGTGAAAGCAGGGGACAAAAGTAGCGGTCATGAGTCGGAATTTTTTCTAATGTAGCAGTAATGTTGAACTCCCCAATACTTAACCAAGAAGTCCAACTTTTCCTGTGTTGGAATTGACTTTAAGACAATTTATTAGAAGCAAAAAGTAGTACATAAAATTTGACCTCAATAAATTATATTGATTTGTGTTGGTATGCATTTATTATTATGATTTTTTAATAATATTATTTCTTATTATTAAGTAGAGGAATGTACGAAAATTGGTTTGTGAAAAAATTGCCATACAATTGCAAGACATATTTTAAATTAGAAGTTATTGTAAATAAACTTCATCTCAGTAATGTGTGTCAAAATGTTCCAAATATTTAAAAAAAAATATTTGTAAAGCCATATTTAAAATTACTTCCAGTTTGTATGAAAAGTTCCTTGACTCTGTTTTAGCAATTGAACTTACTCCACTATCTAGTCACTACAAGAGTAAGCGGAATGTAGTGAGTGATAAACGCTGACCAGTACCTGCATCCAAATTATCACTTCAGAGAAGGAAATTTAGCTACCATTCCACAGATGCATCTTTTAAACTTGATACAAGTAAGCGAAAACTTCTATCAAATTAAATTGTATAATTACCATTTTCACAATAAGGATTGCCATCTTCCAAATGGAACTGATTTCCACCAATCGGCTGCTTACACTGGTAACAGAGGAAACAGCTTGGATGGTAAGTCTTCTGTAGTGCATTTACACACTCCTATAACAGAAAGAATAAAGGAACTCCATAATCATACAATAGACTAAAACACTCCTACACTACATCATCAAACAATAGACACACACACTCCTAGCACAGAAAGAGTCAAGTTACTACATCATCATACAATAGACACACTCCTATAAAAGAGAGAGTCAGGTTACTACATCATCATACATTAGACACACACACTCCTATAAAAGAGAGTCAAGTTACTACATCATCATACAACACACACACTCCTATAAAAGAAAGTCAAGTTACTACATCACCATACAATAGACACACACACTCCTAAAACAGAGAGAGTCAAATTACTACATCATCATACAACACACACACTCCTATAACAGAGAGTCAAGTTACTACATTATCATACAATAGACACACACACTCCTTTAACAGAAAGAGTCAAGTTAATACATCATCATACAATAGACACACACACTCCTATAACTGAGAAAGTCAAGTTACTACATCATCATACAATAGACACATACCCCTATAACAGAGAGAGTCAGGTTACTATATCTTAAAATTAGGCCCTTCGTAAAATAAAGTTTATCCTCAAATTTTTCATAGTTCGACCCATGCACAATGTATCTCCATTTAATACTGATTAAAGTTCAAAAGCTTTTATGAATTTCCAAAAAACTACAACTACTTTAAAAAGAGTGTTGTCTGGTTTATAATAACAAAATGATTATTTAGTGTAAGGGTATTTAATCTAAAATATTTTCCCACACTTTTCCTTGCACTCTGGATTCAGTCTAATCTGGTCAATTTTCATGGAACTGGTAATATCCAGTTTGGACTAATTATATTGTACTAGACAACTTGCATTCTAAAACTATTCTTATTAGCTTAATGTGTCACTGTTCTCAGAACAGTGTAGTAGACCTCAACATACCCCTACGATGGGTTTTCCACACTTGTTGCAGGTTGGAGCAAAGTATTGCTCATAGTCCTTTTCACAGTACAGGTATCCCCCCTCCTCCACAAATCCTATGTCCAGCAGTTTTTGTCCACACCTAGGATTCTGACACACGAAGTGGTCAGGGCACCAGGTGTTACCCAGGGCAACCACAAAAGGCCCTCTGTAAAATAGAACAGATAATGGTAATGATAACAAAAAGTTATTTCCCTTACAAACAAACTTTATTTTACAATGTCATGTATATCTTTACATTAACAAAATGAAAAATATGTATTTTGAGAAGTGTCTGGTAAATAAAACACTGGCCACTGACTTGTAAAGTTGCATCGCTTGTAGCTATATGCCTTCTTTTAATTGAACTTTTGAAAGCTTAAAGTTAATTGTAGGCCAGTGTGCATAAACATACAGCTGTGAAAAGATCAGATTACCCAAATGAACAGAATGATTTCTCTACCTGATAGAAACACTACAGGATGCACAAATAGGTATCCTGGAGATTCCGGGGGGAGTCTCTCCACTCTTAAAGACCATAGCTTCACCCTTCTTGGCCCTCACAGCATTGACACCAGTGGGGTTCCTGGGAGGTCCCATTTTAGGACCTCCTGGAGCAGCAGGGGCTGGGGGCTGAACTGTTGGGGTGAAGGGCTTGGCAGCTGGAGCACTTGGAGGAGTCCACACCCCTGGTTTGGGAGCTGATGGTGCAGCTAAAAAAAAAACTAGGTAATCTAAGATTACGAAACTCACCTCGACGAATGTTATCTTTAAGTAAGGCAAATTTCACATCATATTCTTTTTTTAGTTAGTGTACATCCCAAGATCAATATCCATGCAAGTTTGGTTTAAGTACGACTTACAGTTACTTGGAAATGGACCTGTTAAAAAACATTTATCCTGTTTACTAATCAAGAAAATTTTGGTCAGTTCCAACATCCAAGGTAAGTCTGGAAGTTTTCATCCTTAGATGCACCATCTATGCAAGTTTAATCATAACAGGCCATAATGTTATATAGCTACTCCAAAAAAAATTATCCTGGTCACTCATCTGGAAAATGTAGGTCAGATTCAGAATCCAAAGCAAGTCTGGAAGTGACCATCCCTAGCTACAACATCCATGCTAATTTGGTTAAAATATGGCTAAAATTCACTCATGTGGAAAATCTAGGTCAAATCCAGCATCTGAAGCAGGTTGGTAAGCGTACATCCCAAGATGCATCATCCATGCAAGTTTGGTCCAGGTAGGGCTTATAGTTACTTGGGAATGGACTTGCTCCTAAAACTTTAACCGGAGCGCCGACGCCAGGGATATAGCATAAGCTCATCTCGACTTTGTCGAGGTGAGCTAAAAATGTTTATGTGATTGATTTAAATTGCAGCTGTGCATGTTTGCATACAAATAATGAGGTGCATATTTTTATCTTAAATTTTACATAAAAGTCAGTAAGAAATTATCAACTATTTCTACTTAAAAGTTAAAATCATACTTATCTAATGTACTTGCCAAAGAAAACAAATAATCAAAATAAAGGTTGTTTTCTGATGTTTCAATTTAATAGGGTCCCAAATATTTACTTCACATATACATGTATGTATATGGATGCAGGGGCCAATGTGCAGAGCAATGGAAATATTCTATACATAAGAGGAAGCTAAACATAGAAGGAAATCAGGTAATAGGTAGATAATTTTACCTGGTGCTGGGGGTGGTGCCTTTGGTGTTGAGGGCTGGTCCCTGTAAAAAGTAAAACATTGTATTTAAGGACAGTATTAATGTCACTAAAAAAATACTTCAGGGATATTTCTCAGAGATTTTGATTTTTACTTTTCACTGAATAAAAAAAATTTAAATGCTATATGCTATTAAATTTCTGAAGTGAAGTGTATGCAATGCTCAGCAGGATACCAATACATGTACTTCAATCATTTAATGCAAAAGATATCATGAGGGTGAATAAATATATAACATAAATTTAGGAATATCACTGACTGCAGGTAAACACAATGAAGGTCATGCAATAAATATGAACACTACATTCAGATTTTAAAATTTCCTGTCTGTGCCAATTCAAAGACTTTGAATGCATATTTATAAAACTGTCTACAAAATTACCCCGCAATTTTTTTTAAAGGGAGTGAAGGTCTGGCATTAAAAAAAACCCAAACTTTTAAAATCTAATTCATCCATCATGAGTCCCCTCCCCCCATTCCCACCTGGCAAGGGCATTGGCACAAACATGAAAGTGTGATTAATGCATTACCCTGCTCCCAACTTCTCTTGGAGCATTTTAAATGTTCTGGAGTGAGTGGGTTTATAATCATCTTCATGCTTGGCTGACTTAGGAGTGTCTTGTTCATGCACCATTTTGAATGTTTCAGATGGACGATACACAATCTTCCCTTCACTGTCCAAATCGCCACCTTTTTCATCTTCTTCTGCCCTGAAACACGCATGCAGGTTTCTAGGTCTACTCTCGCTTCATGCAGATTTCAAATACAATATACATGTAATATGCATTATTTTTAGTTTTCTTGACTTTCAAATATATTGCAAGATTCAATACTGACAAGCATAATGTGCATACTTGACTGACTCAAACTTAACACAACACTTATTACATGCAGCTCTTAAACTTCACAGTTTTTTAAGAGTTAATTTAGTACAGATACTTGAAATATTTTCCTTAAGTACCCCTATTATAAACGCTTCCTGACTAAATCCCCCCATTATAAACACTTCCTGACTAAAGCTATTAGGCTTTTCATATCCCTTTGTTACAGACGAATGAGGCCAAAAGGTTGATAGCATGGCTATTTAATCATTTATAGCATGCCTCTAAATCCATGTTGATTTTTCATTAACTGTGTAAATACAGCATGTCTTGTAAGATTGTTCATGTGAATCTGTAGGATAAAAGATTTTGTGTAGCAACAAAGAGAAATCAGCAAATAATTTTTTATGAAGACCAAAAAAAAAAAAAAAAAAAAATTAAAATACCCTTGCAAGTGTCTGGTACAAAATTTTTCTTCCAGAAATCTAGTAGTCACCTTGAATTTCACCTTCAGATATTTGCAATTAAATGAAAAAACTACAATATATTATATTTACAAACTTAATGAATAAAGAAAATTTAAAATATTGAAATGTGATGCAGTAAACAACTCTGTCCATAATAATACCTGTCTAACTTTTAATTAAAGGTGTGCAAAGGATTTTGATATCACTAATCCATGTTCTACTAGTAACTCAGCTGTACTGTACAAACCATGGCAAAAAAATATTTTGTTTTTACTTAAAATTATGCCTGTAAACTTCATTGCTAATTTTGTCAGACAACCAATGAACAAGTACATGCAAATCCAAACAGCCTGACTGGAGCACTCTGTCCACTCAAACATGCTGCACTTAAAAACAATATAAAAATAACACAAAATTAATCAAACTCCAGAATGATGCAACTCCATGGAACCCATCTTAGAAAGGGCTACATGTCTCCCTCTTCTCTCAAACTTTGACAGTGTACATATTAAATCAATTATTAGTTTCTTTTTTTTATCCAAAAAACTTGCTTCTTTACTTAAACTAACTACCCCCTTTTGTTCTTATCAAAATTTTGTCCAACATACTGTTTTTCTCGAGTTTTAGGATGCACATAATTTATGTAGAAAAGTTCTTTTTAGATGACAAATCATCCATTTAGGGCACCTGCATCAAATGATAAATAAAAATGCACTGTCAAAGTTTTTGGTATAGGAGACACTTGTGTGATAGCACCTTCCCAGTGAACTGATCCATCTAACAAGCAGAAGTTACCTCCAGGGTGGACTTGGCTCGGGCTTAGCAGGGAGATCTACAAACAAAATACCAAAGTCAGAATTCCACGTATGTTCTGAACCTCACTGTGAAACCCCTGATGCTTCGTCAGCCTTCCCTCTTTATAAGGCAAATCAATGAAATATCTTATATGAAAAGTAGAACAGAGATAAGTTGTTTTAATGCCATTTTTTGTGATATTGTTTTACAGTATGAATTTGGTTAAAATCAAATTTTTGCTTCAGATGCTTTAGCAATTAGAGACCAACTCAACCCTACACAAACTGACAACACTTCAATTCACAGCAACTTCAAGCTCAAGCCTGGATTTACAAACACCGTAATTACACAAACACCTTAATTACCCATATACCATGGTGTTTATGTGTCTGATTTCTAGAGATGGATGACAGAATTCAAATCATGCAAAAGTAGGAAATATACTAAAGCCTGGACACAACTGCAAGCAATCTAGTTAAGACATAAGTGTAGGTAGTTATGATTATACACACCTTACTAGCTTGCTAGCACTTTTGGTACTTTCCTCTGAATAGAGTCCTTGGGGGGTATTGAACTGACGTGGTTTGGCATTATAGTTGTTTTGTGTGGTGCTTGGGGAGACACTTCGTACCACTTGTCCAGGAGCAGGCCGCAAGGCTGAGGGGGGTTCTGAAAATTTGGGGGTGTCATAAAAACTCTATGGCATGCATGGTACAATATGCACTTAATTTTGGATGCAGTTTGATAAGAATAGATAATTTTATTAGTAGACTTGATAAAAGCACTTTGAATTAAACAAAAATATCTGTTTTGAATATCTTTAAAAAATGGAACAGAAACATTGTGTGTAGATGTAAATTTTGCATCCGATCATAAAAATGACCTAAAATGACTTCATTCATGGTAATAAATAAATATGCAAGCTAAGGATTTTGAACTGAATCATATTATAATACTACATTGTACAACATATCAATTTAATCTACATGTAATATTCTAATTATGGAGAGCTTAGGAAAAATACAATTTAAATCTGTTCAATAAATTAAATATAAAAAGAGATCAATGAAAAGAGTATTCAGGTCTTTCTTAATTAACAGGTACAAACTTACTTATGTAATTAGATGACACTCTACAGGACAAGCTTTGTGGGGAAATGCTTACCACTACCCAAATGAAAACAAAAATTGTTCTCAGCTGACTCAGAATTTTTTTTTAAAAATATCGATGGTTTGGGAAATTAAAATCTTCAATAAAACTGAAACCTTCATTCTTTGCATAATTCAGTGAAATTTATTAGTCTTCAAATGACTCAATGGCTCTTTTAAGGTTTAAATTCAGGATACGTAAGGAGCAGGTATTTAATAGCTTACTAGTCTTTTTGGCAATTGATCATAATTATTCACACTGCATTCTTAAACAAAGGTGCAGTCTACTCAAGGTATAAAACATGCTCTCAACAACAGGAAAATGTCATTATGCATATCATGTTAAAGGACATGCAACAGGGCCAACTTCACAAATAAATACTGTTATTATGCAACTACAAATACTATTTTTTTTAAAACCATTTCCGATTCCCACCCTAACCTGTTTCCTATTCTCACCAAAACTTCCTCAAAATAATTTTCTCACTATTTCTGAGTACATAATAATGATATGGAGTGCCTTATATATTACAGTATTTTCTACTGATTCACTATTTTAAGAATTTTGCTCCATTTCCTACTTTTTCAATGACAACTGTCTTTTCCTTTCAATTCATATGAAAAGATATTCTTTATCTAAATGAATTTTTTTAATGTAATTTTTTCTTAAAACATGTACCTTTTGGCACAAGTATAAACATTTTATTTTGAAAATGACCTTCACATTTCATTTTAAAACAGCCCAGAAAACAGTTGAAAATTGCTTTAGTTCTCATACATGTTATGTATTCTCTTGAGTCCCCCCCCCCCCACAACACATACACACCCTCTTTCATCAGATTGCTCTACATACACTCTCTGTGTAACATCTAAGATTCCTGATTTCTTTACCTTGTCCACTATCCATCATGCCTTGGAGAAACTTGAAGGACCGTGACTGATAGTTAGAGGGTGCTGGCTTCTCTTCATTATCAGCATATTTCTGTGCAGCAGAGTAGAAACCTGGAGTCTGAGAGGGAGGGGGTGGGGGTGGGGCAGCAGGTATCCCAGAGGGTGCTGGTTTCCTGTATAAAATGTGATATCTTATCATAAGGAAACAAAACAAGGAAAATGTTTGCCTTAGTATTCAACATTTTTCTAATCTAAGAATTTGAAGTTTATGAGGAAATTTCTTTTTATTCTCAAGGAAGAAAAAAAAAAGACATACGGGGAGAAAGAGAGTTGACTAGTTTGCTGTGTGACAGAATCCACATCAGGCCTGGGAGCTGGAGATCCAAATGGTTTAGCTGCTGTATTGTAATTCTGAATAAAAAAATTCAGATCTTTTATAATATTCCTTTTTTAATTCAGCTTGGTAATATTTATATCCACCTTTAAGATGGAACCATACTCTTTCCTTGCTTGCACTACACGTTTACACTTTCAAACCAAAAAAAAAAAAAATGAAAAGAATGTTACACATAACCCTTTTTTCATTTTAAGAAGAAATACCTATTGATAATTGTCTAAAAATTGTACTTTCATTTGTTAACTAAAAAAAAACCTTTTCAATTACAGAAAAAATGTGCTTCCCTCTGAAACACTTAAAACCTATGCTGTAATTTTTCAGGAAAAAAAACCCAAAGTGCTGTGTGAGGATAAAAACAATACCAGTGATAACGTGAATTTTTCACTCTCTTACATTTTTGAAATTAGGAAACTGATTTGTCTGAAAATAGGAATAAAAGGAAAGGCATATGTAACAAGAATACATCACTGACTGATATACAATATTCACATTTCCTTTTTGAACCCTGCTTCATAATAAAGATTCAGTGGCTCCAAACAATGGGAACTTGTTCTCCGCATACAATTATTTTGCAGAGAGGATAATATTTTTTGATAGGAAGCAGTAAAAAAACTCTTTCCTGAACAAATGAATTTTTATATTATAGAATAAATAGTGCACACACACATTCTCCATCATATGATATAAGGGGGTGAACTGAAAATTACCACAAGCTATGCAGTCTCTACGTAACCCCAAAGTAAATCTTGTGGTGAATTATCGTCCTATATCAGCATACTGTCAGACATTGTTTACATGCTTGTTATAAAGTGCTTCCTTTGTAACCTTACATCACCTTATGAACCTATCTAACATTATATGACTAAACCCAACTCTATTCATATTTGTCATTTTAAACAATAAACATATACTTTAACCACTTAAAATTCATTTTTATCTGTGTCCAGCATACAAAAAATTAACATCCTTTATGACTATCTCTCCATCGATAACTTATAGTGTAACAACAAAAGATCCATATCACCTCCTTTTAACAGGTAAATGTTAAAATAACAGCATCTACTTGTTTCATACCTGGGGGCCTGATGGAGGGGCACCAGAGGGGCTAGAATATGAGTTGAATGTGGGGGTTGCAAACTTCTCATAGGTGTGCTGAGGAGGTGGGGCACCCCTGCAAAAATGGAAATAAAATTTGTAGCCATAGATTCTATAATCTCCAGACAGAATTCAAAATTACTTCAACTTGTACAAAAGTGAGGAATCTTTTTTAACTTAAACATCTTAACAGGGCTATACTTTCTATACAGTATTGTAATATTAAAACATGGGATTAATAGAGGATTCTGCATGTATTAATGCGCAACATATGATCATAGTTTAACACTAGAAATTTCAGCTTCAAAATGTTTGTAATTTTGGTTAACACAATTAAGACTGCATACTGGTTCATCATTCAAATTTGGAAATGTATGCCAATGTATTCCCTGCTATAAAGAAACATCTAAAAGTTCTTTTTATCTAATATATACATGTATAAACTTATATTTTCTTGGACAAATGACATCCCCTACATAAGTGCTATAGCATTCCAACAAAGTGATAAAATCTTACATATATTTAGTTCATAAATTCAAGTTACCTACTACAATGAACCGAGCTTCACATATTTTAACAGAATTTTGTAACAAGTATTCAGTGAAACTCAATTTCTAATTTACAATCTGTAATGTGTTAGGGATTGTTGTACATAAATCAAATTCTGAAAGAATTTGTCCAGGTAATGATGCCTATGTAGGCAGAATATTTCAATAAAACTTGCACTCCCAGGTACAATATAGAATCTAAAACATCATTCATTCATAATGTACATCAATACAGTGAACCCACTGAAGAATGTTCTGGGTATACATGTTTTTCTGTGTGCGTATGTGTGTGATTAATAAGCCAAAAGAATGTGTCTGCTTCCCATCTAGGCCTTTATGAAATCTTATCTGATACACTCAGAAAGTATACAGCTATGTAACAATGTACACCCATTGACACAATGCTTTCTCAGCAGATCTCATATTAAAAATCCTCTGTTTCTAAATTACTTGTCGAGAACATGATAAAAGTAAGTTCTCTCACAAAATGGGAATCATTCAGAATTGAATTAGCTGGTAAATTATAGTTCGTTATCATTACTTATCTTTCTGGTTCTGTAAAAACATTTTAATTAAAAATCGGGAGGTTTGAGAACTTGAAGAATATTGTCGATGTAGTGTATTTTTATGCATTCTCAAACTCTTAATCATAACATGGTAAATGCATCAGCTCTAGTCTGAAAAAAAAAATTCAAAATCAATGCAAGTTTTAGACTAATCAATCAAGTATTCATGGTTTTTATTAAATGTCTTGACTCCTCACTGTGGAATTACATGTATTGATGTTTAAAACATCTTTATTCAAATCAAACATTTAAATATTACCTGTACCTGTGTATTTTTACTACCAATTAAATACATAAATGAGGAATTTTTGTGTAGATGGAGAAGTTGTGTATCTATGATCTGCAGTTCTTCTACCTCCCAAATGTTCATAAGATAAACTAATGTAAGCTCTGATGGTCTATCATATACACACAGAAAACAGATGTTTCTCGGAACTACTGATAGACAGATATAACAAGAAGGGAAAAATAACGATGCTTATTGATTTGTTTGACCAGTAAGTCACAATAATTATACATCTAAAATCAAAGTGCTGTGTTAACCCATGCTGCAGTGATTGAATTAAAAGAAGAATCTACATACAACCATTAAATTTAGCCTTACTAATTTACGAAGAATTGAGTTAGCAGAAGATTCAATTGATCGTAATTTTTTCAGATATAAATGCCATCTGCTATAACTTAGCTTTAAAGAGAGATTTTCACACCTATAAAACATTTATAAATTGGCAAAGTTGCATATTATATAGAACACCATTGTTACGACTACTACTATTTACTGACAGGCGGTAAAGAACCTAATGGTGGATGCACCTGACCTTTCAGCACTTAGAATGACATGGAAATATGGGAATATCTTATAGTGATAATCCATTACAACAAGATGATGTATCTGACTATTTTAGCGCTATCTCTATCACTGTTTTTTTTCCTCGTGGAGATTATTGATGGTTATCATTAGATTATGAAGCACTGCAGAGATTGAAGCAATTCAAAAGTAAATATATACTGTGAACAACAAACAATTTTTTAAAAATGTCAAATCTGACTCTTTCTTTGAAATTAAAGTGTGCAAAAATCAGACAAACATTAATAGCTAGTGGACAATTCCATTGTCAAGGCCTCAAATCGAGACAGAAGCCAAGGGGAAATTCTTATTGTACAATTCTAAGTAATGTTTTATATTCCACAAAGACAGGTTAAATGATGCCATAACTGAGATACAGCAAAACATCTGTTACAAAGTACAGTGCCATGCATTATTTGCATCATCATATCTGATTTCAAACAAATTCTCTGTGGGCTAGTAAAAACTACCTATTTCTTTTCAAACATTTGACCCATAAACTTAACTTTTACATTTTAATAGTATCAGGCAATTCACATCAAACACAACAAGAAGATTTTCTGTCTAAACTAGAACTGAGTCATTCATTATTTTTTTTCAGCATTCCCGTACTTACCGATTAGTGATAGACTTTTTTTCACGGATTCTTGAATTTAAAAGAAAAATATGAATTGAAAAGGAAGTGCATGTACTTTAATAAGCCCTGATGAAGGTGCTGGGTGAAAGATTCGTTAAAAAATAAACACTGCACTCTAGATGTCTCAGGATAACACTATATTATTATGAATAAACATATGGGACTTTGGACCCAACCACCCTTTTCAGAAAAATATTCCATAAAATATAATTCAGCTGCATACATGACAAACATGCAAATCAGAATTTATGAGCCCATGGCCAAAACAAAATGCACAGCTTTGCTCTTTAATTTTGTGGCAAATAATTCATTAAAACTGACAGCTTAATATATTTTTTTATAAACCCAGTGCTTTCAATCTGGATGAACGGGGGAAAAAAAATGCTTCACATCCCAAAAAATCCAAGGATGGTCATTTTCATTCCACATACACAAGAAGTAAAAATTCATAATAGTGTAGGCAATAGGGAATGGGACACATTTTGATCATAACATGCACAAAATGACTTTGCAATGAAGATTCTAAAACCATCTGTAATGACTTGTGATGTACCTCTGCAGAAGAAGATCTAATTTGTTGCCAGACCCAATGATTAAGTCCTGGGCTTCCTTGTGTTTGTGATTTGTAGTCTCATGGTTACCAATCTTCAGAATTATGTCCCCTTGTTGGAGACCACACTTGGCTGCCAAGCTTCCTTGGTTCACCTGAAATAGGGGGGAAAAAACCTTGATTTTGAATAAATGAATTGGAACTGTATTCAATTTCCTGCTTAATTTCAATAATTATTTTGAAATCAGGAAATAAACTGATGTCTCACTTGGGATAAATTGAAATAAGCACTAGCATATTTTTCTTTAAAACTTTGAATAAAATGATGTTCAATTTCAATTGAAAGAGAAGATAAATGAAATTACTAAAAATGAAAAATTATGATGCACTAATTAGGTAAAATACATACTAGTGTGTAATATGATTTAAAAAAAAAACAAATGTAAAAACAAATAAACTGTAAATCCACCTTCTATTATATGATCTCTCTCTCTCTCTCTCTCTTAGGAAGATTACATAGGAATATAAGGAAAAGTATTGTTTGATGATGCCAAATACAATAAACTGTATAATCTTTTCCCAAAACAGTGGTTAAACTCTAGATTCTGCCAAATGAAATAAAATGCCAAAAACTCTTCTATTTAATCAAGTTTTCAAAACTAAATGTTGTAACTTTTAGCATGAGCAATTTCACACCCCCACAAAATCTCACTTCAGATAAAGTTGTCTGATAATTTGGATCTTCATGATAGATAAATGATTCTATATTCAACATAAGTCTAAAAGATCACATCTTCCTCCACTGATCATTATTATCACCAGTCTGAAAAAAAGTTATTTTAACTCTGATGCCTGGCTGAATGGTTAGCAGGAAGATAAGAAATGTATACAAATCCTAACAGGTATGTGCCAATGATTACTTTCCAAGAATACCTCCACAGATATTGGCAAGTAATGGCAACACATTCCCTGCTGATGTAACAGTTTCCAAATCATAGAAACAACTTACATCTGTTATTGCTGCATACTATGTTCTGTTCTTTGTATATAGTCATTATAGGTACTCTCTACACAACTATTCATCATAGAAAGGGTAAGTAATATATAGTACGTTAACCCTGTTAACTTTGATGGTGTATCATTTATCCTATATTAATAGTTGATCCTTTTCTGACCCTGTTGTAAAATTCAGTTCAATCTACGGAAGCTGCAATCATGAAGTTAATTATAATATATGATTCACTGAACAATAGAAAGGGATTGTGTGAAAATGCCCAACACTGGAGCCCTGCACATTACTAAAAATAAAAGAATGAATTCAATGTATTATAATGCAAAAACACTGTGAGGATATTACTGAAGTTGCAGTTTAGATTGACGTTAATCTCCTTACACAAAGAGGTACAGTCTTATAACATACATCCATCAAATATTATCATGTATTATTATACACTATCCTACCTATTATTACTGTATGATAAATACACAGAAAACTGTGATTTACAAGTCAATGCATAATAATTAAGGTGTGTCAGTAACAGTATTTTTAATTAGTTCATCACGTAAGGCGACACAAAATTAACGGAGTGGAAAGAGAAATTCACAATTAAGAAACCGGTTCAGAACAATGTTTCTTTCAGGTGAAAATATTGTTTGGGTCATCAGACAACAGTCAAACTGTCAAACTCAGGTCAGTCGACCGGAAAAAATTACAGGTGTGAGTGCAGGTGTCTGCTCAGAGAGGGTGTGTCCTTGAAGTGGAATCAAAAGTGCCGGCTCTTACCTTCAGAATAGTCAATGGGCAGCCGAATTCTTTTCCACCTTGCATTCGAAATCCCCATGGTGTTGTGGGATCAACTCTCTCTAATTTAGCCTCCAATGTTAGAACAGAAGCCATGCTTTAAAAGTCTTGTTTCTGTTTAAGTGTAAGCATGTAAACACTTTTTCATACCCCCCAAAATGACACACAGTTCAATATTCAGCAAGAACTTTTGCACACGGTACGTTCTTCCGAAGGATATTAGCTGGTACCCATACTTTCACGTTAATTCATTATTAAATTTAAGGACTGAGAACTAGTTGTTTAGAAAGGTTCCGAATAGGTCTTGATGGGAACGCCCACTTGATAGGAAATGTGTACTTATAAGGCAGTACGAATATAAATATGCATTATTTATGCTTGTTAGGAAAAGGGAAAAACACAAGAATTAGTCATGAAAGAGTGATTGAAATCATAAACTTAAAGGAACAGAAACTGTCAAAGTGAGATAACGAATGTGGTCGAAATATTTTGCCTATCATGCAGACAGGACAGGTGGATCTAAGTTTTCTTCCTACAAATTTACATTTGTTTAAATTACTTCTCTGATGGAAATTGCTCGTATTAGATGTGGAATTTGTCAGAACTCTTTTAATTTGCATAAACATTTAGACAATACTCACTTTTTTTTATGAAAAAAAAAATTGAATGAAAGACTATTTCTAAAGTCCATATATATATAGGCTAATTGATTCGAATAGTTCTTATTTTATATCACTATCGTTATATTTTAATTTTTCTTCTTTTTTCATATTCTACTCACTAAACCATCCAAACTGTTTTCCTTTATTTGGATTCTATATCAAATACATTTTTTAGACAGACTGGACTTGTAAAAGTGTTTTGATTGAGCTCTCTCTCTCTCTCAACTCAGAAATTGGATGGATTTGTGTTAATATTTTTCCTGTTTATGCATGCAATTTAATTCTGATTTTGAAACACAGATACTCACAGATATTTATAATTATTTTATTGTATTAATAGTTGTCCATTAAAAAGGAGCCTAATTAATTAAGGCCTTAACTTATTTTTTTACAAGATGTTTTTAGTTGTTGGAGACAAAATGATTACCCCCACCCATCCCAACCCCACCCCCAAAAATTACCACCACCACCACCACCACTCACACTCATACAGTATTTAGATATCAGAGGGTATACATGTGTACTTAAGAGTATGCCTATAATTTTCCCCAACAGCTTGAGCAGGATAGACCAACAGATGGCCAAGAAGTTTCTAAGATTTTATCTGACTGTAGGGGGGGGGGGGTGCAGCTTGTCTTTATAAATCTAGGTTAAAAAAACATTTGTGTTGTGAGGTTGTTCGACTCAGTAGACCTGCAAATCCAAATCTCCTAGATTTGTAAACATTATACTCATTGTATTTAGACAGTCTACATAGACACAACAGATGCCAGCCCAATCCTTCACAGTACAATGGATATGTTCTGGTTGATTAAGAAATGCAAACTTTCATTAAAACCTGCTGGTGATAAACTGTTGTTTACATAAGCAGTAGCTGGGGTCAGTGTTCAGGCCAACATTAAAACCCAGCTCTCTGATTCTCTATCAGACTGTTATGTATCACATTAAAATTCACTAATCCTCTCTCTGTGCCAAGATACACTGGTATTTAAAAACACAATATCAGGGGACAGCTCTATACAGTTTGAGAGTAAAGTTAGGGACCTTAAAACTTCACCTCCAATATCACAGAATAGTTTGCTTTGAATTTCAGGACTTTGACCCGGCCTTTAAAGTAACAAAAAAAATCTTCAAGCAAATGTATAGAAATTCCTCAAGAGTAAAAGAGACATCTACATTTTGTATTCTGTGCTACATTTGAAATACATGTAATATTTGATTGCAATATGAAGCAAGGTTGTACCTTAAGTAATACACTAAATGCTAATGTATGAAACCGTATAGCATGTTATTTTAGCGGGGTGCTAATTTTGGCTTATTTTAATGTTTTGGTACATGTAGTAACCCCCTAAAATTTTAATCGCTAAAATAATCAATATTCTTCCTACTTTTCTTTTGCAAGTTTTCTTTTGTAAGGTGTAAAAACCATGTGTCGGCTAAAATAAATGATGCAAAAATTATTAGCATACCTTTGAGCAAGCAAAACACCAAATTTTACACCCGCCAAGAAAACCCGCTTTACGGTATATAAGGATATGACTGGGGAAATACTGTAATTTATATATTGAATAAAAGTGACATTTTTTCACAGTGTGAAAAAACATCAATAATTATTATAAGTTAGTGGAATAAATAAACCATCCTGATAGACTAAACTGCCAAATTTATCCAAATTGTTGTTAAAATCCATGTTTACTATTTTCACTCTTAGACTAACAAGATTCATTCAACTATGATGTCACAGCTTATTACAATGCATTATGAAAAGAGAGAGGCAAAGGGAAAATCAAATGGAAAATTCAATCTGTAGTTGAATATGGAATTTATTTCACAAACAAGACAAGATTTTTATTATATTTTCACCCAAAAATATAAAAAAAATCCTCTCCCACTCATGAAATAAATTCTGTATCCATGCAACTACAAACCATTTAATAATTACTCAATCTTATCAAGGAAATTATTTTATCAGTGAAGAAAACTTGAGGGTATATATGTGGGAACTTTATATTAGGTTTGTGATACTATTTCTACATGAAAGAAGTACATTTCAGTTTTCTCTTTGGAAATAAAACCTATTTATAATATCCCTGTACTTTTATTCAGACTTTCAAAAACAATGCAATAACAAGTGTTATTTTCAAATTTCTATTTAACAGATTCTACAGCATAGTAATACATAAAGCAACTTGTAAACATTTCAACAGGCAATCATATCTATATAATAACAAAGCAGTGATAAACTTCTCAAAATATCAACTGACCAAACAAAATATAGGTAAATAGGTGAATGTCCATATTCTTATATTATGCTCTAAAACAATATCAAGGTTATCACATTTCACAACAGATTAATGTTAAATGTACACAAATTCAAAAGATAATTAACACCCTGTTTAACCTTAAGTAAAAGATATGACAGACCATGAATTCAAACAACTAGATTTTAGATTCACTTAATATCAAGTGCTCTTTCTTAGTTTGCATCTTTATATAAGCATGACATAAGTGGTAAAAATAAATTAAACAAAATTGTTATTCATCATATCTTGAAATATGTTTGCAGTACAAAAATACATAAGGCACAATTATTTGGTTATTTGTTTTTGCTGAACACATATGACAGTATGTATAGCCCTTATTGTTTAGTTTGGGGGGAAAAGTTTCAAAAGAATAATGCCCAACAATAGTTTCTTCAAATGAGCAACTCATTTGCATCAAATATGGAGCATGTATACAAAACAAGAGCAGAATACTAAATACCTGATTACTACTGTATAACTGAAGAAACACAAGGGTGTACTGGGTTTGGATAGCAGGTGCTCTAATAGTGTGGGGAGGAGGGGCCTGAGGTGTGATGTACCCTCTTACCCAGCCCTGGAGCGATAAATTATCAATACAATAAACAGGGTATGTATAATTTATAATAAATAGTAAACCTTATAGGTTAATTATAATTTGGTAAAAAAAAAAAAAAAAAAAAAAAAAAAAAAAAAAAAAAAAAAACAGAACACACAAAGGATATACAAAGAGTGTAAAACATAAATATTTGGAGAACAAATTGCAGCTATATGTACACAAAGGCTACACTATATAAGGTACTGTATAAAGGGAAATTTTCACCCCCATTTCATTTTCGACCCTTTCACCCTACTCACAGGTGGGTGAATTTAAAATGGGGCGAATTCAAAGAACACAGTATAATTTCTTAAATAAAACTGTGACTGGGGAAATTTAAAACAGGGTAAAATTGCTTGCAAGTGTGAAAGGGCAAAAATAACCCTGTATACAGTATTTAAAAGATGGGGGAAAAATAATTTGCATGAAAATTAGCAGATGATATATACTGCAGTTGCATCAAATATTTTTATCAGACAGGTGTTGGTTTTAAATGTACATGTATAAGTCATACCTCAGTAATTGCACATTTGGAGAGAATACTTTTGAAATGTCAAAAGAAATGAAAACAAATGCATGTGTTAATATACTGACCAATTGAAACAACCTGTAAATACTAAAATTGACTTAGATCTATTGACTAAACCCTTCATAACTTTTAGTTTCCCTAATCCTCTTAACTGAGGAAAAATATTACTGGACAGGGAGATCAATCTATTCCAACAAAAATAAATATATTTCAGGAAAAAACAAACTCATATGCATAGTTCTTGGAACAAAACACTTAAGAGCACTTGAGCAGATTAATATCTGGATTTCTCTTCAGAAAAAAAGCACAATAATGTCCCCCAAAACACCAGTCTGCAATGTTGGTATACAGTTTGTGTAGTATATTTTCATTTTTGTCAAGTGCATTATCCAGTATTCAGAATTGAGTTCTCAGTCAAAATCAGAATCTTTCATTGATAAACTGGAACTGCCTTCATATTTGGACCTGGGGGTTGGGCAACTTGTTTGGCATGCACTTCACAGTATAATCTCCCATCTACCACAAAGTACCCTGCAAAAAGGAGATAATTTCATCAGTCAAATAATATTTTAACATATCAGGGGAAAAAAAAACTATTCCAAAAACACCCTTATATTATGCTTCCTGTAAATTTGATCCTTTATTTTTCAAATACAAAACATGATGAGAACAGCCTATGTAATTGAAACTTTATAACTGACAGCTGGCATTGATAATGATTTATGCTTAACCTGTCCTATGCTGAAATTGCAGTCAGTGTTTTGAGAGAGTGCACAACCCACAGGTTAAGGTTGCTTTATATAACAGAAATATGATGAGAGAGGTTTATAATATTAGACGTCTGTGCAGGTTCTACATAAATTCCAACAAGTGAACTTTGACCTTACCTTTCTGTTTCAGGTTCACTCCACAGGAAGTACATTTGAAGCATTGTGGGTGGTATGGTACTCCTTTAACTCTCACAAACACTCCTCTGCAAGTTTACCGAAAAATTCTTATGAAAGTTAATACCCGGTACTTAATTTTTTTTCTATATAATGCTAAACAGCTTCAATCTTTTGAAATAAGAAAATAAACTGTGATCGTGCATAAGTAGAGAGAAAATGAGAGAAAAGTTAAAGGATGTAAACAAAAATTTAGATAGGATGTATTAACCAGTACTTACGTAACAAGCATGTTGCAGTCTCCGCAGTGCATATTCTCTTGGTGAGGTTTGGAGGGGGATGGAGTGACTGGGTCTGGTGCCCTAACAGAACGGAAACCAGATGGCTGGGCTGTAAAATACAAAATTTTGATATTTGATGGGTCACTTGATAAAACCGTTATTTAATTTATTAGCAAAATTTAATTATTCATTTTACATTTATTAAATAATTTAAATTTGTTATGAACAAACCAAGGCAATTCACACCTATAAGAGACACAAAACTGCAAAAGGATTAGATGCTCACCAGAATCAAATGTTGCAAGCAGATATATACACTCGGTCAATATGATTTATAAAGATTAATTTGAAGGAAAAAACTTGATCATTAGAATCATTAAAACAACAAAAAGTGCAAACAATTCATTTTCACTCCACTCCATTGAGAATTGCAATAATGCCACTCTGAGAAACATGAAGCAACAAAAATAAACAAATTCTGCTATAACTGTAAATCCCAGTATTTGAAACTATTTAATTATGCTTAATTTTACAAGGATATCTACATACTAAAATAGAGTTTTTAGTAAAAAATAATGGGATGTAACTTATTATTTAAAATATTTACTGTATGAGTAGGATATGGGAAAAGGTAGTTCTCATATAAAAATACATCTATTTTGTCTCATAAAAATGAAGTTTCAAAATGCAAGATTTTTTTCAATATTACATATATGAAAGTGACACAGTCACTGTAAAATGATTCTCACAATCACCGATAATCTTATACTTCTAATTTTGCATATACAGTATTATACATTTCCACCCTTTCCACTTTGACTTGAATACTTGTATTACAATTTCACTAATAGTGTGGACTTCAAGTGGACAGTGACAAGTTTATTATTTATACTCGCATTACACTGAACTGTCAAACAGCGACTTATGCTGCACATTTCCAACCTATTGGTGAAAATGTCCCAACTACTTGACTTAAAAATATCAAGTTGAAAGCCTGAAAAAGGTCTAGGATTTTCTTATCTTGAAAACTTTTTAACATTTATTTTAGTTTTCTCAAGTATAACAACTAAAAACAGAAAAATAGCACAAAAACCACAACATACTGAGCTTTGTTTCATTTGCAACATGCAAGTTAGTATCATTTTGTGATATGGATTCCGGTTGGTTAGAAGACAAATTTTGGGTGTCACATGACAGATGGTTGTCAGAGGTCACAGGGGTCACATCATCAGCTTCAGAGTTCACAACAGGCACAACACCCTCAGGATTGTCTTCACCTTCCAGTGGTTGATAGGTGCCACTCATTTTAGCTCCAACTGGAGTTTTAGCAATGTCTAATCTAAAAAAAAAAATTAACATACATGAAAATGTGGAAAGAATGTTTCAATATACATGTACAATGTACATGAAATGCACTTTTTATGCTAATTAAATGTTTATATGTACATATTAGACAATCTAACATGTACAGGGACTTTGTAGCAGTACATCTGCATAAAAGTTTTGATAAGAAGATCAATCTTGATATAAGAGGGCAATGCCCTCAGAAATGGAAACCCTGCGGCTAATTAATACCCTATTTCATTTATGCTAATAACTAGACTCACCCCTGCATTTGCTGTTGAATTCCTGCAGTCTGAGCAGCATAGGTGTCTGCTATGTTATTAGCTGAATATAATCCAATGGGAGAATTAAACTGAGCATGGACTACATTGGGAACTGCCTGTTTGGGGGACTGTGGAGTGAATGGCTTGCCAGATCTGTTGTAGCTGCTTCCTATATTCAATGGTTCCTATAAAAACAATGTAAAGGTCAATGTCAGGTCATCTGATGGTCAACAAAACATTCATATGAGGACTAATCTAAAGAAATGTCCTGGCATCCAGTTTCATTTTATTCAGCACTGCATAAACTTAAAACAGAGCAAAATGCACCCCATCTTAATTCTGACTAATAGGGTCTACATGTAAATCATTGAAGTCTCTATATTTTTGTTAAACACAGGGATTAATGCAAAACATTATTAACAGTGTGCAAGCTTTTAAAATATCTGATTACTTCAGGAATAATTCAAAATCCTCAGTCTGGAAGAAAAATTAAAAGAGAGATAAAAAGAGCAAACAGTTTTGGTGATGAAGATGAACTTGGGAAAGAAATGTCATTTTAGAAATCAGTTACACCATGAAAGGCACAACTTTGCTCTATTTCTTGATATTTGAAGCATAAGGATAATTTTTTTTGACAGTATACATAATAGGTAATAGATGGAGTCAGGACTTATATTGCTCCTGCATGTGCTTTTGGATCAAACCTCATCTGTGCACCGTTCAACCTTAAAATGGCATACTGAAGGCAATGGTCAATAGTTGAAAAAATATGGTAAACACTGTATAGTTCTGTAAATTGATCTGGAATTGGTTTTGTGCAGATATATGTGCATGTATCAATGGTAAAGGTATTTTCAATGAATTCAACACACATTCTGGATAAAGTAACTTGTTCTGTGATGTACAACATTATTTTGCCATAAGGGTTGTCTAGACATGTTTGAATGTCTTTTAATTCCTACAAGGTGGAACTTTTGGTCAATTTAACAGGTCAAGGTACACAATTAAAGGGTTTAGTGTTTGGATTTCTGAATTGATAAAACTTACTCTTAATCATCAACAGACTATACTGCAAAGCAAATGACAATAAAAGCAGAAAATTCTCAACAAGTACTCACAATTAATGTCAATGTAAACAATGCAATCTGATCACTTCAACATAAATACAATGTTTATATATGCACCTTTCTATCACTCAATTTTACAGAGTCTTGTCACTATCTAACTTGACTTATTTTGATACCCCAAAAAACCTTATGTATGCTATTTAGCATGAAGCCCTTCTTTATTAAATGAAATGAAGCAAACTTACAGGCTGGTGATCTCTAGTTAGTGAGGTTTTCTGTACAGTCTGAACTTCATCCCCTGTTGCTGTTTTGATGGTGTTCATCTGAGCTGGCCTAAGGTCAGACATGGGGGTAACTTTGGGTTTCCAAATTTTGACTGCACCTCTACAATGAAATGATTTGTATTCAAAATGAGCTCATCAAAAATGGCAATTCCTTTAGGATAAATCTGTGGAAATGCAATATGAAATAATATATTGTTCAGTTGATATACGGTCACCCTTGGGAGCAAATATCATGAAAATGAAACCTTTATGAAGAACACAATTACAAAGCTCTTCTAAATTCCCTTTTGTTCAAATTTAAATACATTTCCCCAAAATACTGATGATGACACTTTAGTGACATACTTACCTTTGCACGGTCATGTTGATGACATTCCCTGCTCTAATGATTTCCATCTTGGCCTGTTCATGTGACAGACCATCTGCATTGGTGTTATTGATGTAAAGGATGCCATCACCTGCTTCCAATCCACTGCGTTCTGCTACACTTCCAGGATTGACCTGAATTCAAAAAACTACTTAAGTGCGACTACTACATTACATAAGTGTATAAGTGTACTCTTTTAAATAAACAGATACTAGTTTAAATTAAAAGAGCTTGATTTTGCACTGTGTAAATTTGTTATTTATCAACAGTTGCTAACATACTAATTCCTCTGCCTTTGACTAAACTTACAGAAACTGTTAATCTTTAGTCTTGAACCCGCCATCAAATAATTGCCCCCCAAAAAGAGTGAAATAAATCACCAGCAAGATGAAAAAAGTTCTCCAATGTGTTTATTCTGACATTTTGTAAATACTCAATGTTCCAATATATTTTTTATTCCCTAAATGATAAATAAATACTGATCCTGTATACAGGTATACAATTTGTTACAGTAGTCAGACACTATGAGTACTTTCAGTACTTTCATTTTGAAATTACTTCTAAAGTTAATTAAATGTGAAATACTTAAATAGATATCTGAAAAATTCAGCAAAGCAATATGATATTAGCCAGACACATGAGGTTTTCTTCAGAATATATATATTTGATTTTTCATACGATGGAGTTGAAATCTTTGATTTGCACATGATAATTCAAAAGGAAACCAAAAAGAGTGAAGTAAATCACCAGCAAGATGAAGAAAAGTCCATCAGTGTGTTTATTCTAGCATTTTGTAAACACTCCACGTTTCATCGCTAAATGATAATTAAACACTGATCCTGCATAAAGGTCTTGAACAGTCAAACACTTTTCTAGTACTTTCAGTACTTTCATTTTGAAATTACCTCTAAAGTTAATAAACATGATAAACGTGAATTACTTACATAAATCTATAAAATTCATAACATGATTTAGTAGTAGTAGTAGCCAGGCACATGAGGTTTTCCTTCAAAATATATATAATTGACATGTTGGCGTTAAAATCTTTGATCCGCACGTGAAAATTCGAAAGGAAGACGTATCCGCTTTCATGCTCTTCAGCGGCAAACCAAATATAGAGCAAGATTCTAATCGCGAAAAGCCCCGTTGCTGGGAATTTGTTTGCAAATAAGCAAAGGATACTTGAAATAACCATTAAACGATTGCTATGTAAGATGACTTATTTTTAGAATCTTTAAAAAAGAATTGAGAACCCGACACTTTCGGAACACCTGCAACTTTTAAACATTTTCTAATCTTACCGATTGTATGGAGAGGGGGGTACTGAAATCTACCCCTCCCTGGAGCCGAAATCCCCAAGAGATCCCTGGGTCCGGGCGGTATAACTGTACCGTGAGGGTCTCTGCCGGTTGATATTCGATGTTGGACATCCTGCCGTCTGCTGGTGTCTGTGGGGTACAGATATTACTTTCACTCCACCGAGGGCATCTGGTACCGTTTAGCTGATGTATAGGCTCATTTTTTGCACACGTTCCCTTTGTTGTTATTTACTCCAGACGTCAAGTTGTGAAAGGTTGTGTTGTGGGCGTGCTATACATTCCAATCTATCTTACGATTAGAGTACACACATAGTTTTAAATGGACGTGTGTATTGGGCGGGGCTTCAGCTATCACTGAATTCTTATATTATCCAAAATATATAGTATTTCATGCATTCATTCAATCATTCACAGGTAATTCCATTCATTTTTCATTGAGATGTCTAAAAATTATCAGATTTAAATCGCAATCCATGACAAAAAGAATTTTACAATCCTATGTTACCTTCCTATGTAGCCTGTACATGTAGGGCCTACATGCATATATCAATTGATTACAAGCAAGACCTTAATTTTACTACTATGGAGGCACAAGGTGCTTCATAATCGTTTAGAAGAGGAATGTAAAAAAAAAATAATTCTAAATATGAAAACTCTCAAAGATTTAAGTCTTCAATTCAGTTATGAAAACCCAGGTTTGTCGAACTCACCCCCCTCTACTCCCCCGAGAACCCCCATCAGGTCCGACTACCCTGGACACGCTTGGGACTCGGATGACTCTCAGATCCCTTGTCTCACTAAAAATTTGAGTCTAGTTACGGCCTTGCCAAACTTTGGAAAGTTATGCAGGAGCATCATATTACTCCAGGAACCTATATGTCCCTGATTACTCATTATGCACATAACCTGAATGAAACATTTTAGAGATGTTTTCTTTTCTTTTGATGACAAACGGGAAATGAGTCATACTTCCAAGTTTTGTTCAAAGGGAAGTACGTTATACACCGGCTACCTGTCTTTGCCAATCTTAATTTATTTCAAGTTAATATACATACAGTGATTGATTTGACCAATTCGGAAATAATGAATTTTATCAATATGATATTATTCTGAAATGGCGGTCCATTTTTAACAATTCTGTCATAAAGTGACGCATGTAAAATAATAAATTTAAAGCTAAATAAAAAGACGCAATGTTTAGTGCAATAATGTATCCCTATACCTGTGACCGACTTTACTGACATTATCTACCACGAGAATGTTGTATGTCAGTCAACCTCTTTTTATGAGTACTGAACTGCATCTTGGTACACATATCGTTTCAGCAACTCTTCTAGAACCTGCTTCATATTGGAAAACTACACTAAACAGATTATCAAATATATTGTTGTATCTTTGAATATTGTAATCATGGCCGTAGGAACCGGGGGGAGGGGGGGCATGGGGGGCCGTCCGTGCCTCCCCCAATAATTTTGCCGATATATATAATATATAGTGTACTAGTATAGAAAAAAAATAGATACTAAGTGCTTGTGCCCCTCAATAAAAACCTCTGATGACCTTTTTTTTTTTTTTTTTTTGCTTGTCAAGAAATTTTTGGTAGTTGATAGTGCTCCCTCAACTGAAAATGTATGGCTGCCCCCCCCCCCCCCCCAACTGAAAATGCTTCCTACGGGCCTGTTGTTTCCTATATAAATCTATGTATGCTAAAAAAGTCTAACATTTCCAATGCTTTACTGAGTGATAAAAAAAATCAATGTTTGATCGCAGAGTGAGATATTGGCACTATGACCGCTTACGTCACACTGTGGGCGTGATCACTATTCGTTGGTGTTCGATAGTGACGGAATTGACCGAGTTTAACCCTAGTGCTGGTAAAAGGTATCTCATGGAAGCCAGCACAAAATACATGTATTTAATTAAAAATAAATATATTGACTGTGCTCTAGGGCAAAATGCGTTTGTCGACCCCTCGAACCAAACCTTTTGCCTTCGCCCTCACGCAAACAGTTTGGTTCTTGGGTGTTTCCCTCGAACGTATTCTATACAAAGTATTAGTATTTTTTTTTTTTACGGTTGGCACCCCCTTTTTCTTTTCTTCATAAGCTTGTCAAGTAATTTCTCGCCGGTTGTCCACCCAAAACCTGAAATCGCTTCCTATATACGTGCCTGAAAGATGTTCTCTGGAAAAGAGCTGGCTTTCATTACTACAGTGGGGTCCATTAGATTTACTTACTGGCTTATAACCCTCCCCCATGGTGTAAAATGTAAAAATAGATTCTTAAAAAGGTTCTAAGAAACTTTACAGAAACAAAACTTTATAGATTTGTAAAACTCTTTATTCATATTGAACTGTTAAATTACATTTTCCCACTTTTCACCAAATTATGTGTCTTGGTCAGACATAAAATTGTTTTACCAAACAGAAATCACTTCTTCAGTGAGAGAGACATCTATTGAAGCAAAGATACTTTAATTTTTTACAATACAAATGGAAAACTATAGAATAAAAAAAAATGAACATCATAGAATACAAATAAAAATTATACAATACAAATTGAAAATTATACAGTACAAATGGAAATTATACAATACAAATGGTTATTATATAGTCTATAAATAGTCCCTTTATAATCTATACAAACGCAAATAGTTCATATTATTATATAGTCTATAAATAGCCCCTATATAATCTATACAAACGCAAACGGTTCATAACACTACATATTCACTGGATTTGAAGCCGTATTCACCGGAGGGTCAGTGCGCGTGCAGCGGCATTGTGACGTCACAATCAAAAACCCCAACGTTGAAAACAATGTGGTTACAACGGCCGGAGCCAGCTGTCTACTGAGCAGGAAAAATGTTAGGCAAGTGTATCACAGGGTTATTTTCCAAACATTTCGATGTCTTACACCCAACAAATTGAAATCACGGAAGTTATAAATTGTAATCTGTACGTTTTTTTTTTATTTTTCTACGACAGAGGTTCGTTAATGAAAAAAGGTATCGTCATGCAGCCTTCAATGTCTTATTTCTTCAAATCCGGACTATATAATAAAACAAATATGGACTCTTTCGGTGGTGAACATGGTTTGTTATTCACCAGAAAAATATCAATATTTTAAAGAAAAACAAGCATTCTGAGAGTATTGCATTAGCAATACTAGTCCCCTACCGGCAAGTGTAATCTGGTTCCCGTTAAAAATTGAAAATGCTATACTTCCGTCAAAAATCAATGAAGCGGGACGAAATGCAAACTTGATCTATAACTAATCAAGGTAAAGTCACATACCAAAAATCAGCTCAATATCTGCAAGCGTTTAGAAGAAAATTGCGGAAAACCCCTAAAAATTGAAAAGGCCGTAATTCCGTCAAAAATCAATGAAGCGGAATGAAATGCAAACTTGATCTGTAACTCATCAAGATACACTTGCATACCAAAAATCAGCTCAATATCTGCAAGCGTTCAGGAAAAAAGTGCGGAAAACCAAGTGGGACAGACTGACAGACAGACAGAGGGACAGACAGACAGACGGACAGACAGACAGACGGACAGACAGACGGACGGACAGACTCAGAGGAAACCTATAGTTCCCTCCGGTTTCACCGGTAGGGGACTAATAAAGCGTCCATAATTGTATAATACTACATATTCACTGGCTTTGAAGCCGTATTCACCGGAGGGTCAGTGCGCGTGCAGCGTCATTGTGACGTCACAATCAATATTTCGAACAACGTTGAAAACAATGGTTCCGACGGCCGGAACCAGTTGTATATCTGAGCAGAAATGTTGTTAGACAAGTCTATCGCAGGATTATTTCCAAACATTTCGATGTCTTACACACAGCGAAAGGAAAGCTATAGTTATAAAGTTGTAATCTTTACATTTTTTTAAAATTTTGTTTACGACAGACGTTCGTTAATGAAAATTGAAACGTCTTGCAGTCTTCAATGTCATTCATTCAATTCCTGACTATATAATGAAACAATTATGGACTCTTTCGATGGTAAGTATATATGGTTTGTTATTCACCAGAAAATTATCAATATTGACCTCGGCTTCGCCACGGTCAATATGGATATTTTTCTGGTGAATAACAAACCATATTCACCACCAAAAGAGTCTATAATTGTATAAAATTATACAATACAAATGGAAAAGATCGAATATTGCAACGTTTGACATGCCATACACTCGTGAAATAAATTCCATATTCAACTACAAAACATTGAATATCCTCTATATATTCACTATATATGTAAAACTTTGATCATCTAATGTGGCCCTGCCCTAACCCGGGGACATAATTTTAACAGACTTGAATCTACACTACCTGAATATGTTTCCCTATAAATATTATTAAACACCACTCTGCTGTTCTTGAGAAGAGAAGACTTTTAAAGAATTTTTCCTATATATTCCAGTGTAAAACTTCGATCTCCTAATGTGGCCTCGCGGGAGTCATGATTTGAACAAACTTAAATCTATACTAACTGAGCATGCTTCCACATAAATCTGACTAATCAGAGCTTTGCTGTTCTTGCCAAGATTTTTTTAAATATATTTTTTCCTATATATTCCCAAATAAAACTGTGATCACGTTATTATCATGGCCCACCCTACCCCCAGGAGATCAGGATGTGAACAATCTTGAATTTACACTACATATATAATGAAGCTTTCATATGAGTTCTTCAGAAGAAGATATTTAAAAGATGCCATTAAATGTTCCATTGTTCTTAATTATATCCCATTGAAAGAGGGCTGACCCTTCATTTGAACATACTTAAACCCCCTTCATCCAAAATGCTTTGATGTAAGTTTGGTTGAAATTGGCCCAGTGATTATTTAGAAGAAGTGGAAGCAGGTTTTTTTGCATTGTATATTGTGTTTATTTAACATGTACATACTTGCTGTTTAGTCCCCTTGTAACGTTCTGACACGTAGTATCAGGGTTCATTTAAAAAAAAAATCTTGTTGGAAGTCTGCACCCACCCCCCCCCCCCACCCCCCAATAAGATTTCGAGTTTTGAAATTCTTTTTTTTTTTTTTTTTTAAATAAAATATCGTTTGTCAAAAATTTTCTCTGCTTGTCAAAAAAAAAAAAATAATAATAATAAATAAATAAATAAATAAAAATCCGTGAACTGCACCCCCCCTCCCCCCAGGTTTTGAAATTTCTGGATCCGCAACTGAAAATTGTACAGTTTTATAAAATGATTCCATAAGATTCAAAACTTGATAAAAATAACTTGTTCGCATCAATTCATGTGAAAATTGTTTGACTGGTCTCCTCTTATGGTGACTCAGCATCCCAAACCCGAAAACCATAAAATCAAACAATTTTCACATGAATTGATGCGAACAAGTTATTTTTTAACAAGTTTTGAATCTTTAGGAATCATTAGGTCCCGAATAAGTCACTTCGTTCCCCGACAAACGAAGTGATTATATTTGGGGGATGATTCTAGTCAGACTGTAGAGGATCGGGATGAAATGCTGTTTGACACATTTCCGACTTTTTAAAAAATTGTACAAGTGAAAGAAATCTTTAAAATATTTTATAATTTTGTGGACATTGCCGATTTTGGGATGTTGTAACTCTTCCCCCTATTTTTTCCGGCTTGTAGCATGTTATCTTCTCAAACAACGTTAGCAATGATTAGAACTTCATTATGACATCATCCACAACACCGACACGTACATCCTCAATACTGTATTAATAACTTTTCTTCACTTTCTCGGGCGCTTATATGTATTTATGATAAAAATCTGTTGTGAAGTCAACAGGATTGTCTTTCCAGGAAAAGAAATAGGGGATCGGAATTTCTTTTAAAAACATTTTCAATAAAATTCTGAGAAAAATTGAGCAAAGAGAATGCTTTTTTTCTATTACCTCTTGTAGTGGACCCCTTTAACGTAGTTTGATCCTCAGGTTCTGAAAATCAGCAGTTAAGTAATTGAAAATGCTCACCAAAATGTCTCTGAATTCACAAACTAATGCGTATTTACCCATGGCATTTCTTCAAAATTCAACATTAAAGTTAATCATTTTATAAAGAGAAAATTATAAAATCTCAGATATATTTTCAGGAAACGCGAATAAAAGCACCAGCTATGCATTTTCTAATTGAAAATTGATCAGCAAAATATTTTAGGATAAAATAGAATAAGTTTCCAGGCATTTGGAGAAATTTGCATGTTTTGTAGTTTATACAGTGTTTTAGTTCTTCTGTTTACTTTCATTGTTATATGATACATAGTATACAAAGTTTGTTCATTGCAAAACATCAAAGGTCACTTGTAATTTCATCCATGCTAATAAGCGTTGGTAATTAGGGCTAGATTACAGGAAATTCGATTTTTCTAAAAATGTATAAAATTTATTTTTGTTCTTTTATGGGGATAAAAACGTCAACTTTGTACAATATTATTTCTAAGACTTGAAAGAACCTTGAACCATATTGAGATGCATAAAATGAAAATTTTAAGCTTCCTTTTGAGACTTTTTAAATTAAATAGTGATTTTAAGAGTTATCTTTCCCGGCTGAGGAGCGAATATCCTTAAGTAGTTTGAAAAAAAAACCCTACTACAACCCGGGTCAAAAGAGCAATGCTGTTCAGTAAGTGTTTCCAATAGGCACTCCCAATATTTAAAAATATATATATACATGTTTATTACATTTTCAACAGTGAAATACTGTGATTTATTTTTTGGATAAAAGTGATATTCTGACATAGTGTGAAAGGATATCAAAGTGATATTCTGTCACAGTGTGAAAGGATATCATAGCAAATAAAATTAAATTCATTTCTGGCCTGTCATAAGATATAGTAACTAAACCATCTTTATAGAGACTAAAACTGACAATTTCTTCCCAATTATGTTGCTAAAATTCATGTTACAATTGCTAAGTTATGATGTCTCAACTGCTCAACTATGACTTTACAGCCTATGACACTGTGTTAAAAGACAGAGGCAAAGGGAAATCAATGAAAATGTAATAAATAGAAAATTCGATTAATGTTTTGTAGTCGGGTATAGAATTTATTTCCCTTGTGAGACAGGATTTTTTTTAAAATTTTCACTCGTGCTTCGCACTCGTGAAAATATCAAAAAGTCCTGTCCCACTCGTAAAATAAATTCCATATCCAACTACAAAACATTAAATATCCACTATATATCTACTATACTATAAACGTTATGCTTATAGTGTAGTAGATATATATTTTTTAACAATTAAGCTGGGGAGAACCTATGGTATTTCCGGTGAAAAAACTACATTGGTTCAAGATCATTTCCTTTATATGTAAATAGTTTATATAACTATAAATAAATCTTTGATAAGTAACTTGCTTTCCCCTCGTTTTTAGTTTTCAATTAGTTTAGTTTTCAATTAGTTTTAATAGTCCAGATACTCTAGGCATTGTGTTATCTCCTCAAAACAGGGCTACATGAGATTGGTTGAGTTATTCTTCCTTGTTTTTCTTTTTCAAATTCTTTTCTGAGGCGTTCCTCGTACTCTTTTTCTCGTCGTTGTTTGGCACCGTCCTTCACAAAAAGTTCGCGACGAGCTTTGCCAGGGGTCTGCGAGTCTCTAGAACGGTAAAAACTATTGTTTTGCAAGGCCTGGCATGACGTCGCTCCGTTGGACATCGTTGTAGTCGCTTCTGTCCTCTGTAGTCGTGGATCTTGCCAATTCTGCTGATATGTCTGTGGAAACCAACTTTCATTTTGACCATTATTACCATACCTCCTCTGCATCTGACTCTTCCAGTAATTCTCCTCAAAATTTTTTCTTCGTATTTCTACCCTGTCTCTCCTACTGATAGCAAAATCATCAGGGTGGCTCCCCTCTTGAGAGGAAGACCGACCTGTCTCGATTTGTTGATTTCTGGAGTTAGTGTATTTTCTATGCATTTGATGTTTTGGATTGTGTTCCTCGTATGAATTTCCTCTACTCCGCCTGTTCATTTCAAAATCATCTGAGGAATAACAGTTTTGTGGTTTTTTTCTCTGAAAAGTCTGCAGTATTTCAATAGAATAAAACAGCAATCATGGAAGATTAAAACAATATTGAAAATTATTTACTGCATTTAAAATAAAATAGGGCAACGAGAGAGAGAGAGAGAGAGAGAGAGAGAGAGAGAGAGAGAGAGAGACTTACTTGATCCTTTATAGGGTTCTTTGGCAAGTCATCATAATTGTAACAGTGATTAAAATTACGTGGCCTTTTCGGTATTTTGTAATCTTTCCAATCGAATGGGGTGTCATTAATCAAATGACTTATATCAGACATCTGAAACGACCCATCATCATTGTTAAATTATATGTACAAAATTACACTTCGTTATACCTTTAAAAATTTGTTCCTATGTAATTTAATACTAATAAAATCTAACATTTCTAATGTTTTACTGAGCAGGCATAAAAAAAAAATCGATGTTTGACCGCGGAGTGAGATATTGGACCTGTCGATGAGATGTTGGACCGCTTACGTCACATAACTGGCGGGGTCAGCTGAATCTCATTTGCATTCGTTGATGATCGACATACATATATATAAAAAAAAAATAAAATAAATAAATAAAAGGTATAACAAAACATTTATTGACTGTGTTCTCGGGCAAAATGCGTTCTGTCGACCCCTCGAACCAAACTGTTTGCCTTCGGCCTAACGGCCTCAGGCAATCAGTTTGGTTCTTGGGTCCGACAAAACGCATGTTGTCCTCGAACCCAGTCAATAAATGTATACTATTATACCCTTCAATAAATTCTGCACCTTCTTGAATATAATTATTTAAAAAAAAAATCAAGTTAAAATGTTCTGAATAAAAACGACGTGCAGAAGGCCTAATCGAAAAAAGCCTCTAGAAACTGTGTCATCAACATATACGTTAGATGTCTCTCTTTGCAAGAGTAACAAAACAAATTAGCTTGTATTCACAAGGATGTGTCTAAGAAAGTAGATAAAATGCCTCCTAAGAGTCGAAATGATGTTAGCTGCAATAATGTATCCCTCTCCCTTTTTTTTTTTTTTTTTTTTTTGGGAGAGGGCTACAACTCCTAAGGATCTCCGTAATGGTGCAAGTGCGGGAGTGATTCACTCCCGCACGAATTTCGGCTTAAATTATCAGTAAATGGCTATTTAATTGACATTTCTTACCTGAACTCTAAAAATGTAGTTATGCAAAACATAAATCAATCCAAACATACACAGAACAATCCATATATCGGTTATTTTTCGTGTATGTCAACATCACAACTTGAATTTATCCGCCATGTTTACTGACCTTGATCGATTTTATTTTGGGACAGCCAATGAAACTAGGGATCTCTAGGGAGCGGATCTCTGTATGAATTACCTTATTTTAGGCATAAATATCGCTGTTTACGAAAAAATGTCACATGGAATAGTTTTATTTATAAATATTTAATGATGCCATACAGCATAATCATTTAGTAACCCCGAAAATCTACTTTAAAAAGTAATTTATAATTTTCAAGCGCAAGTCTCAGTGCATCACGCGAGAACTGTCATGGCTTCTGATGAGAGCGACTGGTAAACAAGCAGATTAATTTTATCTGGTTTTCGCGTTTAACGGGCTATGTTGTTGACAGTGAATAAAAATTTCGCCTTTTTAGAAGTAAGTTGAATGTAAAAACAATTTATTTTGCCTGCAGTCGCCCGTATTTAAAAAATATATTTGCACCATTACAGAGATGCTGTGGAATTGTAGCCCTCTCCAGAAAAAATCAGATAAAAAAAAATCGGAGAGGGCTACATTATTGCAGCTAAAATGATGTCAGTTTGTCAGCGTAGGAGGAACTCAAGCTTAACAGGTTACGATACGGATGTAAAATTCAACATCGCAACTGCATATAGCATGCAAGTTTGATCCAGCCTATGGTTACAAAACACCATTCTATAATTTCCGTTAAAATATATATTTTTTTCAATCTGCTTGTAACGTTCCGTAAAATTTTCTTTAGTTGTATCTGGAACCATTACATGTATTACGTTAGCGCCGAGCTAGTAATACATACATTTATTTCGAGAAGAATTTTTAGAAAAACCAGCAAACAAAATTAGACTCGAATGAATAATTACCATGTCCTTAGGCACAGAAACAGTCTCCGTCAAACTCTTTCTTTTCATTATTTTCTATGTATTTCCGTTAAGACGTACGAAATTGTAACCATGGAAAATAAACGTAACGTCATAAAATGGTTCGCAAAATTTTATCATTACATTACGTGAAATTTTGAACAATACTTTTAAAATCGAAGTATAATTTTTTTTATTTGTTCTCACTATGTAACATGAAATGAATAATGAAATTCTTCAAGGATGTGATGCCACCATTTCTTGAATCCATTTAATGTAATTCATAACTTTCGTGTAAGCTCCTGGGCTTTTCTCCTCTGGAAAACAATAATATTATATTGATTATTGGTATTGATTAATAAGGACAGGAATTATTCTTTGTTGATTGATAAAAAAGCTACTCGTATTGACAGTATGGATGTTATATGAGATTGCAATTCAAGTGAAATGAAAACAAGTAGTTTTACTGCACCTACCAGCACATCCATTTCCCCAAGACACGATTCCCTGGAGATCCCATTTTGTTCCTGACTTACAGACAAACGGACCACCACTGTCTCCCTTTATACAAAAATACGTAAATAAACATCAGGTACCAGCTGTACGAAATATAATGATCCAGTAAAAACTTCATAAAAAGGGGTTACTTTTTCTTGTAAGTTAAACGTCTTTTAAGGATGTCCGCTCCTTAGCTAGACTCTCAAAAGCTTTTATTAATTGAATTTTAAAGACATTTGCACCCTTTAGAAGTTTGTTTAAAAATACTTTTATAGAGAAATAAAAATTTCTTTAATCTTGCGTTGGATACCAATGTTTTATTAACATGAGAAATTGGAAGTGATCGGTAATATCTCAATGATATCACATGCTTTTGAGTACGTATTATATATCAAAAGAAGTTGATAAACAACATCAATATAAAACATACATTTTTTCCCGAATGCCTAGATATAGTTTTGTTTTATCCTTAATCAATTTTCAATTAAAAAAAATATATAGTTGGTTGAGATTTTCCCTATATAATATCATGAAATAAAACGATGAACTTTGAAGAAATAACATGGACAAATACTCATTACTTTGTGAATTCAGTGTCATTTATGATAGCATTTTTCATTTTTATAGAACCCGATGAAATTATATTTTAAAGCAACAAGTTTACGTGCAACTCAGCTCTATATACAGATGTTTATGCATTTTCGTTAACATCTTCATTTCGAACATTAGAAGCTCCGGAAATATTATTAATAATTTTTCTTTTAGTTGCATGTCTATTTTTTATGTATTCTATTCATACTCTGGCATTATCCATTGAATTACCTGGCAGGAATCTATACCGCCTTTATCATATCCAGCACATATCATATTGTCTGTGGCATCTCCGTCCAAGTAATCGGTACTATTACATTTGTCAAGGTTAACGACCGGTAACTGCGCTTGTTTAAGTAACCCGCCGCTACTGGTATCTAGAAAGATCAACGCGAGATGAACTGTTTGCATTTTTTATATCATGACTATATGCCAATGTATGATGGTGTTGTCAATAAATGAATTGAATTGAAGGAAGCTTACACTTTCAAAATCAAAGTTCTTTTTTTAAAAAACATTTTGAGGCCCTGTAACACTTCAAAATGCGATAAAGATGAAAAATGAACTAATACAATATTTATAATTTAAATGCAAATTGTTACTAAAATGTAATATTTTGTTAACATAATGATAATATATGGGGAAAATACCGAATAATATCATTATATAATATTAAAAATAAAGAAAAATTGTGTCATCAGTCAGAATATTCATTCTGTTCAGCACAACATAACATTATATTTGATACTGTATCAATATATATAAATAGAGCAGTATGTTAAAATCATTACACGTTAGCTGAACATTTTTGTTATCAAAAGAGCTAAAAAAAAATCTTGGTTAAGAAAATTCATATTTGATGGTATGTTCATCTCCAAACAAAATGCATTGCAGTAATTTTGTTCCATTTTGCATTGTTAGACCAGCACGCATCAATTTTAATGTCTTGATTCAAATGTTAAGGTGCAGAGATTATGATTTTAGCAGAACAAAACCTTGATATCTTACTTTTAGTATCTCCCCATCCAGTTACCATGCAGTTGGCGCCATCTCGCACCAATACGCTGGGAAGACAAACAGTGCTGACGTAATCATTGAGGGTGAAAGGTCGGTCCAGTTTAAATAGTGTAATATCATTATCAACTAGGTCTGGATCATAGCTCTCGTGCATCAGAATTTTGTCCACCCTTCTTATTTGTTCATGGGGATCCGTCTTTTTTTCGTGGTGTTTTCCAGCTTCTATGGTGAGATGGTCCGTGTTTCGATTGCTTAAAATTAACAACGTTTAAGAAAACTAAGCATGGTTTCCTTACTTTGCAAAAGAAATTGGTTTAACTTTATGAGTGTGAATACTCCATAAACATGCTACAATCAGAAGAGTCGCCTGATTTGCGAAGTTCATAGTGGACAGGTACCCTTGATGTTTCTCTTGCTATTATATATCTACATGTGTGGCTCTGGTTGGGAATTGGTATAGCAGAGATGTTATATTCTGATAAAGTTTTAACCACTTTCGATCAAAAACCGAAAATAAGCACCAATTTCTTTTTTTACATCGGTATTTCTTTGACAAGTACAGTGTTTATTGGGCTTTTTTTTAATTGTATACATTAACATCTAGTTTAAACACATGGAATGTTAATTTGGTAGAAGTACGAGTGTTATAGCATTACAAGACAGTACATTGGTGAGACACAAGGTAACTTTTCTATTTTTGAACTTCATTTCTTCAGCTAAACCTTTTCCAGTCGTAATTTGAATACAACACTCTCATAAAAACTTTAAGATTTTCAATTTGCTAATTATAAGTTTGTTTCTTTCATATTCCGTGCGCTTACTCTTCCACACAATGCGAGGCGGTGATGACCCACTGGGGGTGGATGATACTGCCCCCACAGCTGTGACTTCCGTAATGTTTCATGGAGATCTGCCAGGGCCAGCTGTTGGGGATGGCTTCTCTTCCTCCCACAATTCGAGTATTACCCTCCACTGGTTTAATCGCTGGTCGTCCACAAACACCATCATTACCTAGTTAATTTAAGAAGCAAAGACAATATGCTTATGGGAAATTGTTCTAAGACACCCCCCCCCCCTTCCTGGCACAACGTGCCTGCTGTAAACCAATATCACTCGCAACTGTCAGCCTAGAATCCATCTGCGACTTTTAATTTTTGCGATTTAGGGAATATTATAATTCAAAAATAAATACACCATTGCATAATTCGTTCACGACGAGAAATTAATATTCGCGAGTAAAATAAAGGTTGCATGATGGGTATTTCACACACGCGAATAAAAGTTGGTTTACAGTATCTACACAAATAGCTGTATGAAAGATCTTTATTTGAACGTTTTCAAATGTCGAGGTATGCTGCTCACCACAGACCAACTCATCAGATCCGTCCCCACAGTCGTCATGTCCGTTACAGACCTTGGTGTACGCAATACAGTGAGTGTCTCGGCATCTAAACTCGTCGTCATCACAGTACGCTAAAAGACACCATAAGATGGGTTAAAAGCTAAAGATTGAAATTACAATAAAATATGATTTAAAAAAAAAGATTTCTTAACCACTGACGTAATGGGTCGTGGATGGTGTAGGTCAGATTGAATCCGAAGCCACCACCAGACTCGTCCGTGATGAACTGCATGTACATGTGGTTAGACTCAGTTGTCATCTTTTCGGGGTACACCATGCCACAAACTTTGTCAATCAGTTTACCGTATGTATTTTTCCCATCGTACACTGCTAAGTAGTCATAGTCACAGTTCTCTGTACTCTCTGCCTCGAATGTCTGCAGAAGGGATTAAAGTGGGAATTGATAATTTGAAATGCCTGTCTTTACTGTTTAAGCTAAACTGAAACTTGTGGATTTAATTGGACAGACAACTGAGAAAGCGAAACAGAAATCTTCCAAAGAGTTAACAAAAAGTAGAAAAATGACGAAATGGAGATTGGGACACTGTAAGTAGAAGATAAAATGATAAGTACATTAAACCACAAGGTAATGACTTTTCCAGCAGGTGCGTTAATTTTCCATTGACAGTTTAAGTTATTAGGGTACTCTGTAACGCCGTCGTAAAGATCTGAGATAATTGTTCCTGTTTGCGCTGTGTATACTGTAGGAGTGCCACTACAAGCAGCTATATCCGTGATTTTGTGATCTGAAATTATAGATTTTATGGATAAATTATAGGTTGTATGTTGTTTGGTTGTTCATTTACTTTGAGAATTCCACAAAGTAAACCAACGGTTCTTAAGAATAGCCAACAATTTATCTTTACCATTAGGTCTCACTGCTGTAAAAACTGCCCTGAACCCAATGTCGTGATAGACTTTGTCACTAGTGAAGACAACCATCATATTGTTCGTCTTTGACCATTCTTCGTTAGGCAATCTGTTGCCGCAGATTGTGGCGATTAGACCATCAGAGAAACTAGGACCATCGAAGACTTTTAAGCTATCGTATTTGCACTCATGGGACATCTCCGTTCCAAAGTCTTTAAAGTGGAGCTTGATAATGTATCCCTCTGGACCAAAAATTCTCCAAACACATGTTGTGTTGTCTTTGTAGTGACCACTAGTATCAAACCCTGGGGTTTCTATTGTACCAGGTCCTGTGTAGTAGATGTCCTTATCGCAACCAAAAGGACCGGGATCAACCGTCGGATTAACATACGTGGGGTCAGCTTGGTAAAAGAAAAGTAAGTTTTGAAGAAAAGTAAGTATTGAAATTTCCACACCATTTCATCATATAATATAGGTTAAAAGGCGTATTCATTGATTTGTAACTTCAATATCCATACAAATACATTATAAACATCTTAGAAGAATATATATGGATTCTTAGTTAAGTTATGAAAACTACTGACGTTTTTATTTTTTGTTACAAATACTATGCAGACATACCATCCACAGCAGTCCATTTGATTTGGAAGCCGGCCTGTGATTCTCCTTCATCCGTGAAAAACCTGACGATTCCATGTGATCCTGGGATAATGACTGGAGGAGGGGCCTCAGTACCACAATACTCACCTGGTGGAGATAAAGATGCTATTAGGTTTGTTTGCTATTTGTCAAGAAATTACCCAAAGTTTGTCTGAAAAGATTAAACTTTACCAACAAAATGGCGTCCTCCACTTCCACTGTACACTGTGACGCGATCGTATTCACATATAACAGGCGTCTCACCGGGCTCCACATCAAATGTTTTGTTGAATTCAAGTCGAATATACTACAAAGAAAGACAAAGAAGGGAACTCTACAACTACATGCATTATGACTACTCTCTATTGCTTTTTCATTGCTCTACCAAGTTAAGATTAAGAATGACCAGATCTAACCTTTCCCGGAGGAACATTGATGTCCCAGTGACATTTAGATTCGTTGTTATATTCAATGGGATAATTCATCGAGCTGATGACACCTGATGTTCCGTTTTGTATAGAACTGCTGCCACACCCTGATATTCCTAAAATATGCATCTTTTGTTAAGCTGATAAATCTTATTTTCCACAAACTTAAATAAAATCGCAGTGCTTAGAAAATTTCTTTCCGTTTTTAAGACACCCCTTCTTGTCTGTTGTTAATGCATCTCTTTATTTCTATCCGTGTTTACTATTGAGCTATCTCTACAATCTGTTCAGGCATATCTATGTGATTGTTGTTAAGGTATCCCTACCTTTCTGCAATTGAGATCTCTATATACAATGTATCTGTTAAAACATTTCTACTTGTCTGTTATTAACTAGAACATCGCTTCTTGCCTGTTGTTTTAAGATATCTCAACCTGTCTGTTGTTGACATCTCTTCCTATCCTCTGTTGAGATATCTCTACCCACCTGTTTAGGCATTTAGATATTTTACCTTTTACCAGCTGAAATAAATAACTGCAGTTCTTAGAAGAAAAAAAATTCTCCCTTTTTAGGACCGTTCTACTTTTCTGTTGTTGACATCTCTTCCTGAGTTATTTAGATATCTCTATCAATATACTAAGACATCTCAAGTTATCTGCTGTTGAGATGTCTATCAATATGTGAGACATCTCTTACTGTCTGTTGTTGAGATATCTTTACCAGTATGTTAAGACATCTTTACCTTTCTGCTGTTGAAATACCTTTACCAATATGTTAAGACATCTCTACCTGTCTGCTGTTGAGACATTTCTACCTGTCTGCTGTTGAGATATTACTCAATAAATAAATAAATGAATAATTATAATGATAATAAATACCAATATGTTAAGACACAACACTCCTACCTGTTTGTAGTCCACAGCCCGCCTCGTCATCTCCCCCAGTACAATCAGGTTCACCATCACATAACCAGGTCTTGGAAATACATTTTTGATCCGCCACACAGGCATACTGATGATCCTCACAATTGTCTTGATAAAGAGACATGTTCAGTCAATGTCAGCATAATTACCAATGGGCTGTTGCTAACCTACATGTACTTTGATATTCTTCATTATTTTTCTTATATGTTATCATTTATACCAAACCATTCACTGGTCTTTCGAATTGAAATTCTCCGTTCTAAGTTGAGATATTGTTTGATTTTACATGTTCAACTAATGAAGTAAAGACTAACGATTTTCCCCATTTGTCGGTCTGTCGATTGCACAAATGTCTGGTACCTAACATTTCAATTTAGTAATTCGTATAGGACTGAATGCATTTCAATTATGCTTTGAACAAAGACGATTATGCACCGGTCCAGAGGCAAGTCTCTAAACATTGACTCTGTTCTAACGTTGACCATCATATTTATCCCAAAGAAATAAAGAATTTAAATATGATGAGCATATTTCATTACTGAAGTCTTTTTAGAAAATCAGCTGGGTAAGTACATTGGGCGATACGGGGACCGTATTATGATATCAGAAACATTTGTGTTCTACACACACAAATTTTACTAGCAATGTGAAATAGTGAGGGTTGACTAGCTGTGCGAGAAAATTCAATAATTTGGATTTAGGGGGGCTTTAGCGATGTATGATATGATGCCCTTACTTGTAGCAATTTTGCAGTTATTGCCTTCGTCTGAATTATCCCCACAATCATCTTCTTGGTCACAGATTAAACTCTTCTGAACACATCTGTGGTTCTGACACATAAAGAACGAATGTCCACATCCGGCTGTTCAATAAACAGAGATTATCTATTAATGAACATTCAATGACTTAAAAAACTCAGCCTTTTAATGACTAGTAAAACAAGCATTCTGAGAGTATTGCATTAGCAATACTTGTCCCCTACCGGCAAGTGTAATCTGGTTCCCGTTAAGAATTGAAAATGCCATAATTCCGTCAAAAATTAATAAAGCGGGACGAAATGCAAACTTGATCTATAACTAATCAAGGTAAAACTACATACCAAAAATCAGCTCAATATCTACAAGCGTTTAGAAGAAAATTGCGGAAAACCCTTAAAAATTGAAAAGGCCGTAATTCCGTCAAAAATCAATGAAGCGGAACGAAATGCAAACTTGATCTGTAACTCATCAAGATACAATCACATGCCAAAAATCAGCTCAATATCTGCAAGCGTTTAGGAAAAAAGTGCGGAAAACCAAGTGGGACAGACTGACAGAGGGACAGACAGACAGACAGACAGACGGACAGACAGACAGACAGACGGACGGACAGACTCAGAGGAAACCTATAGTCCCCTCCGGTTTCACCGGTAGGGGACTAACAAGTGTAATCTGGTTCCGTTCCCGTTAAGAATTGAAAATGCCATAATTCCGTCAAAAATTAATGAAGCGGGACGAAATGCAAACTTGATCTATAACTAATCAAGGTAAAGCCACATACCAAAAATCAGCTCAATATCTACAAGCGTTTAGAAGAAAATTGCGGAAAACCCTTAAAAATTGAAAAGGCCGTAATTCCGTCAAAAATCAATGAAGCGGAACGAAATACAAACTTGATCTGTAACTCATCAAGATACACTCACATACCAAAAATCAGCTCAATATCTACAAGCGCTTAGGAAAAAAGTGCGGAAAACCAAGGGGGACAGACTGACAGACAGACAGAGGGACAGACAGACAGACGGACGGACAGACTCAGAGGAAACCTATAGTCCCCTCCGGTTTCACCGGTAGGGGACTAATAATAATAATCTCGTTAATTGATAACAATCTTTTATAACTTGCGATTCAAGGTGAAAGGAAACATTTATTAACATTTGCATGGAATTTGAAACAATATATGGATTTCATTTTGTACAAATTAATTACTTAGAACCTCTACCTGAAGCTTGTTGAAATGTATATTTAAATCTGAAACCAGTAAACTGGTTGCTATCGTCTGAGTGGAACTCCAGATAAAGAGACCGAGATGACGACACAACTTCAACGTCACTTCCTCCACAAAATTTTCCGATTAGTTTAGCGGATTTTGAGTTACCGTCGTAGATGTTCAGATAGTCATAATCACAACTGTAACAGAGTAAGTATCACTCTAATAGAATAATTGTGGTTGGATAGTGTTTCGAAAACGAAATAACGAAGAGCACCACCGAAACAAAGATAAATGGTAATGTATGGAAGGACTTACGGTAGGTAAACTAGCACTTAAAATCTTACAATTCATCAAATGTAATTTGTTAAAATTTTATTTCTGACTCGAAAGTCAAACTTTGGCAAAAACATTACTTTGCATCTGGTTCTAGATCAAAATGGATGGAAGACAACCGGATCACGTGACCAGCACTAGCTCGAATTCTCCAATGGCAGTTGCTATTACGCTGATAATGGTTATGATTGTTGAAGTGTGAATGTGATGTGATTTCTCCTGTATGACGATTTAAATATGATGGACCTCCACATCCAGAATGCCCTGAATCTGAATTGAATCAAGATTGGTTATTCTTTTTATTCTGTAAATAATAAAGAAATTTGAATGCGTATTCAACGAACTGGGAAAAGGGGACACAGGTTATACAATATAAACTAATTTTTCTAAACAACCAAATGGCGCGTTACCAGAATTCAATTATTTGAATTTGCCTGGCTTCGCAGATAAATGTAAAATCCACGAAAAAGTGCCAGCTTACTAGCCCGCTACATGGAGAGTTAATTAGTCTCGCAATCAAGTAAAAATGGACACATCTATGTCACAGACTCAAGACAATACCACTAAAACAATCCCTAATTGAATATAATAGATATCATGGAAATGAAATGCATGCAAATTATCATAAAAGTAATTATTGCAACCCTTCTATGTGGGTATGAACTATGAAATTACTCAACACAGAAAACGCTGATATATCTAGCTTAGAACCCTAACATTCCACAGAAATATACCATAAAAGTTCCTGTTTCTAACGTTCTGAATTTGTTCAGGCTTTTATCAATTTAACTAATCAATTTGTTATATTTTTTTTATAATCTTTCTAACAGGTTTATTGACTCAAATTTTAACTCACTCGGTGTATAGTTTTCTCAAAGAACAATACACATTTTTATTACAATTAAGAAGAATATAAAACTTCAAATAAGTTATTGTTATGGACATTGTAGTGAAACGTAAAGATAATTAAAAGTAATCATGCTCAGTAAAATGTAATGTTCTTCCGTAAAAATTAGAAAGTTATGTATTTTTTAAAGTATTTCACCACTGATGTGAATAATTACGGAAGCTTATTGATGCCAGTTTAAAATACTTTTTGCTTATACGTACAAGATACTTAGTCGTACGTACGAGATAATAAGTCGTACGTACAAGACAATAAGTCGTAATTTCGAGATATATGTTTCCTACGAGATACCAAGTCGTAAGAACGACATAAGTCGTAATTATGAGATAATAAGTCGTAAAAACGACATAAAGTAAGTCGTACAACGAAATAATAAGTTGTACGAACGACATAATAAGTCGAAATATCGAAAAAAAAATAAGTCGTAATAACGAGATACTAAGTCGTACGTACGACATATTAAGTCGAATAAAGAGAAATACATGTATAAGTCATAATTGCGAAATAAAAAATCGTTATGACGACATATTCTTAGTTGTAATATCGAGATAATGAATAGTTATAACGACATAATAAGTTGTAATGACGATCGAAATTCTAAGTCTTTATAACTAGATACTAATTTAAGTCGTACGTACGAGATACTAAGTCATACATACGAGATAATTTGTCGATATTGATATTACCAAGTCGTACATTTGCCATAATAAGTTGTTATAACGAGATTACTCTCCTTCTTCGCATATACACACACAAACACGCTATTTTCACGTTTGTTATCATGTTTTGTAAAATATATAAAATATCATACTTGTCATTATCCTTATTTTCCTGGCCAAAGAATTTCTGAGCTGGATTTTTTGAGCGGATATTGACACCATCACCGCCGAATCCCACCCCTATCCACATTTTCCTTGATAGACCTTTGAATTTTTATTATTTAAATGAATTCTTTTGTTAAAAAGTTTGATATTCTTTCCCATTTCTAATATACTCGATCATTAACACAAGTTACAGAGAATAGCTCTTAATCATCCAGTAAATCAGATATAACAGAAAGATCATCTCGTTTATCTTGGAAAAATTCACTTAAACTACTTTGCCACGCATGGTCACCGATTTTGATGAAACTTTACCCTTTATTACAACTTGACACGAAAAACATATATCGAGTAAAATGTGGTTGTTATGTGTCTTGGTTGCTATGGTAACAGCCGGAAAAGTTTGAAAAATTGAAATTTTCAGTTACTTTGAATCTTTATTGAGCCTTAATAACGACTATTAAAAACAAACAAACCATTCTCACAAAATCATGACACCTTGTTGCCACTTAAGCTAATTTAGAATATATCTCTAAGTAAGTGGTAATCATGGGTACATGTGGAATACATTTTAAATGCAGAACAGAAAAAATGCTGAAAAATGCTCAATATTCACTAATGATAGGTGTATCATGATCAAACTCGATCAACAACTCAAGAAAAACAATAAAAATAGTTGTCCTAAGCAATAAGGTATTGGCATATTTTTCTAAAAAAAAAAAAAAACAACAACAAAACAAAACAAAACATTGTAACACAGTGGAGCCATACAAAATTTGTTGCTAAGTTTTGGTTAATGCCACTATCCAAGGAAATACATGGAAATTCAAAACTGGCAAATGTACATCGTTAAGACCTTGTAACAGATAACATAAGAAAAAAAATGGGAATTACTGCTACTTTGCTGTGTAACCATGGAAACAACGTACAGTGGTTTAAAGTTTTGAATTTTTTTCGTTGCTTTAGAAATATAGTTACCATTTTATCAAGAAACATATGACTCACCTTGAATAGTTCTTATCTGATAGAACTAAAGTTGAATATCATATATTGATGAAGAAAATGACACTGTTGCAATGGTTACCAAGAAGGGAAAATGTTCAGTTTTGTTCCTTTAAAGCAATATTAAACCCCATGTGGTAGCTATTTGCGTCCAGTTAGAGATTGTGTGGAAGTCAGAATAGAAAATCAGGTTAGTTGTTCATAAATATCAATCATAAAAGTTTTGGGAATATACATGCAAGGGTAAAATATCCATGGAAGCAAAATATTTTTCAGCTTGTTATATATATTTTTTCTGCTTATTTCCATAGCAACGCTGTATTTAAAGAATTCAATTTGAATTGTTTGAAATGTGAAAATTAAGACATCACCAATGCCTTTAAAAATTTATCACCAATTAAATAGAAATGTGCTTTTTAAAAAGAAAAGATCAGATTAAAATATAAAGAGATTAAAACCATGACAACCATTGCCAACCAATAATAAATATCACATTTCGTCTTTGGTATGTGTTACGAGGATCTTTGTCTATTATTTGTTTGCATTTCAACCTATAATTGCTTTTATTTTTGAGTGCATAACTTTATAAAAGTGAATAAATAAAATTATTACTTTTAAATTCTTTGTTTCCATGGTAACGTATTTAATAGTTGATTTCCCAAATATGTTTATTGTGTATTTAAGACATGAGACCTTCAACTTAATTTTGGAATCGGTCATTGCCACTGCTGCAAACGTTAACTATGGGACTCTGAGCATGTTGAAAAATGTCATTTTCAAGTTTTATTGCATGTTGCCATGGTAACCATGACACAAACCAACCAATTTTTGTCTGATTTGAGATTCCAGTATCAAAGACTTTCATCATAGATATTGGAGAAATATTTAGATTATGCGTGCCACAGCTCCTATATGAAATTTCAAATCATTACAGAGAATGACTCTTTAAAGCACGCATATTCCTAGTAAGATATGTTATTGTTTGCTGAAAGTTGTTGCCATGGGCTTATTTTACAAATAATATTACATACATGTATTACAATGTTTATTTTGCTTAATCGCAATTTTATGACGAAATTTAAATAATCTTTAACAACTGTTGGAGCAAATATGCGAAAAATAACTTTCTTTGTATTGTTGCTATGGTGAATTTACTGTTGTCATTAAGAATAGATATGCTTGAATAGAAGTCTAAGTTATATATTATGGTTTGAATTTGTTTTTGGTTCCGGAAACTGACAATTAATATATATTTTTCAATATTTTACATATTCTGTTGATAAGAAATTCAAGGACCGGTCCAGAAAATTTATCTCGTACGTACGACTTAGTATCTCGTTATTACGACTTATAATGTTGTTCATACGACTTTTAAAATATCTCGTACGTACGACTTATTATCTTGTTATCACAACTTGATATATCGTTATTACGACTTATCATCTCGTTATTATTACTTACTATATCTCGTTATCATGACTTATAATTTCGTTTGTTATTATTTAATATCTCGTACTAACGACCTATTATCTTTTTAATATCTCGTTGTTACGACTTACTATCTCGTTATTATGACTTCGTATCTCGAGGACTGAATTATTTCGTACGTACGACTTAGTATCCCGTTATCGACTTAGTACCTGTTACGTGTGACATATTATCTTGTAATTATGACTTATTATCTCGTGTGTACGACTTATTATCTTGTTCGACTCTTAGTATCTCGTATGTACAACATAGCAAAAAATATTTTCAACTGGCAGCAATACACGTCCATAAAATAGAGCAGGGGACAGTTCTATCACATAGAACAGGTTTTATATTGTAAAGTATTTTCTATAACATACGGTAACTTGTTATTAGTATCTAGATATAAAAGCTAGTTAATATCGGATATTTCTTGATATTTGCACAGAAAATTCAAGCCTAGTATGCAGTTTTCATATGACGTAATTTGCTGAAAGAAACTCTTATAATCATCGTATTAGGTAACGAAGGTGTTGCATGGCTGTTTAACCAGAATAAATCACAAAGAGAGAAAAAAGTAATATTTTTATCACCCATTTCTTAACTTTTTAAACATGAATATCAAGAAATGACAATGAATGTGATCTCATTTCGAATTGTAATAATCTCCTTAATTTTAGCCACACAAGTTGTGTAAAATGTTACGTCCTCCAGAAATATGTTATATGTTTATCTATTTTTTAGAATTATTTTTTTTACTGCTTGGACTTTCATAATAAAGCACTTTTAAATAAGTAAATTTTTCTTTATTTTATTTAGTTATTAATATTAGAAAAATACATTGTATTTAACCACAAATGTGATAAGGATATCTTTAGTGCAAATTCTTCTTATTTATTAACTTGATACAGTATTGTTCTTTGAAGAATCACCTTCCCAAGTTAAGATTATATATATATTCGAAAATTTAACTTCTCTTTTGTAAAGTTGTACTTACTTGCTATCACTAAATCACTTAAAAAGAGCTGAATCGCAATTAAAAGTATCATTTTAACTGATTTCAGAACACACGTCTAGAAACCCGTGCACATAAGGCTTCTGATTAATGGTGACCTACTAGAACTAAATTGTCCAACCTTGACTGATTCTTGCACACAGACCCAAATTTTGAAATCATAATCAAAATTCCTAGATAATATATATATAGCCTATAGGTAAGTTTCGTGACCTGATTATATTTCAACAAATTAAATAGTTTTGCATTCAAAGTGGTTAAAATTGTCTTAAAATACTGAATTATTTTTATTTTCGAAAAGTATCACGTGTTCCTCATAAGACTTTTTTGAAAATGATAAAATTCTCAGTTGCAGTTTAGTAAGGAGAACGTGAGAACTACAAGGTATGGCGTGTATATTCAGAATTTAGGACTTCATATATGGTGGATATATGCGTTGTTCTGTATATCAACTGATAACAGCTACTATTACATGTATCACAGTGAAAAAGTAATTGTTAAAAAACATGCCACTTTAGCTTAACTTAAAATAAAAGTGTGAAATATGCATAAAAGGCTAGGATTTTTTTTTTTAAAAAATAAGTTATCTTTTTATTGTGAAAATTAATTATCATATTAAAATTCAATTTGAAAAAAAAATGTACGGTAGCGGACACTATACATGACACCATTATGCAAAAAAGTGAAAGCAGTTTGGCTTTTTTCCTATACTTATTATTCTGAACAAAATGTATATTTATTAAATTTTTCAATTTTTTTTTTTAAAAATTCATTTTGTTATTTCACTCTAAGTTATTTTTATGGATCTATCTGACTCTAAAGGTTAAACTGCCGGTTAAGAAAATTGTTTATAAAAAAAAAACCCGATGAGGATAGTTGAAATGTTACATATAACTTCTATAGCTGTTACATTCATTTCACGATAACGAGTGTATGTGTTTCGGTCATTGTACCCTCAGATGTGAGGATTCATGTCTTTTCTCAGAATTAATGAGCACCAAAATGGATGATTTCCAGCTTAATCCGTTAGCCCTTTGCTTCGTGAATATCTACTGTTTCTGCGAACACGTGATGTCAATGACCGAAGTACAGGGTCTTGTTCATGATACATGTGTAAGTATTTTGACCTTGTGTTTGGCATTTGTCCTGCAGGAATAGAACAGAATGGATAGTTTGTGTAATTAATCTAGAATATAAGTTCATGTAAACATGTTTCCTGTAAATAGACTGAAGAATTTATAATAAATCTGGTTTAAGAAGCGGTTTGTAGGATATTTTAACCTTTTATTAGTACATCATCCAACTAATGTTGTGTTTTTGTATAGATCTTATGTAGTCATTAATATGGGGTCTTGTTAACGTCAAAAACATTGCAGCTTTTTCTGCAGTGAATGTCATCCAACGTGTTCTCTTGTGGCAGCTTGAAAAACCAGAACCAACTCGAGTCATTTAGAATCAGCTTGAGTTATGTCTCTTTAATCTTCTACGTGATTAAGTTTGGTGTGAGTGAAACTGGAAATGTATCAAAAATATATTTGTACTTCCAATAAAACAGAGTATTTCCTATAGCTACATGTCTGTTACTTAATTATTATACCGGCACAGTTGGGGTACATGCAAATTGTTATCCCGGTCCGTCCGTCTACTAGGAGTGAAACGGTTCACCGCGGTATCGATGCACCGCGGTATTTTTTCTCGGTTTGATACACGGTGCAAAATCTCTAATTTTCGGTTCGGTTCATTTTTCGGTCGGGATCGTTATTCAGTCGGGTTTGGCATAAGGTATAACACGTTACTCAGAATAAATAAGTATAGAAAACGTAAATTTTTGATGACTGATAGCTTGTAAAATAATTTTTGACAGTCAAACGATTTTAATCAATTTCTTCTAGTCAATTTTCAAATAAAATTCGTAAAATATGTGACTAGATTTAGAAAAAGAAAGCATAAAACAACGTAGAATTTGTTTCCTTCTATCAAAATGTATCGTATCGAAAATAACCGAACCGAGACAAAATTATACAATACGTATCGAACCGTGTAGGAGGTGTATCGTTTCACCCCTACCGTCTACGCTACTACTCTCACATTTAAAGTAGTAGCCAACTCATCTTTTGGAATATGATTTGTGGTGCCTTGAACATAGGCCAAAAAAAAAAAGATTTCGAAACTTTCATTTTCACCCTGAGGGCCATCTGGGGGTAAAAAGGTGTTTTTCTTCAAAAACCTGGTTCCCTGAACTCCTACATTTTTTTTCCATTCATCATTTGGAATATGATTGGTGGTGCCCTATATGTGCAATAAGGTTTTGGATTTTCAATTTTCACCCTGGGTGCCATTGAGGGTCAAAAACGATTCCTACCAAAACCTGGTTCCCTGAACTCCTTTTACATTTTTTGCAGTAGCCAATTCATCTTTTTGAAGATGATTGATGGTGTCCTGTAGATGTGTTATAAGAGTTTGGAATTTTCACAGCCTAGAATCCAAGTGAGGGTGAAAAAACGTCGTTTTTTTCCCTACAAAATCCAGGCTCCATGAACTCCTGTTGCATTTTATACACTTATCTACAAAAAGCTGGTTCCCTAAACTCGATCCTTACATCTTTTGCAGTAGCCGAATCGTCTTTTGGATGGTGATTGGTGTTGTCCTGTAGAAAAGGCTTAAAATTTTGATTTTCACCGTGGGAGCCAAATAGGGGTTAGAAAAGATGTTTTTGTTTAGGGTTTTTTTTAAACAAAAAGCCTGGTTCCCTGAAGTCATCTTATACTAGAATTTTTCACAGATGCCCATTCATATTTTGAATAAGTCTGGGAGTGTCCTGTATATGGGCATTTAGTTTAGGAATTTCAATTTTCACCCTAGGGGTGATTGGGGGTCGAAATGGACTTTTGTGTAAATTACAGAATTATTGTGGCTTCTTCCTTTGACACCCAAATATGAAAGTGAGTACATTTAGAGGCAAATACCTTTTGTGCGCGTATTACTGTGTTATAACAGCATCTAGTTTCAACTTGGAGAAAGAGGGAGTATTAAAAATAGTATTTCGTGAAAGAATCACGTTTCAATATATATTGTATTTCTGTTTCTATTGGCTTTTTTTTTTACCTAATACAATCTATTATTGTTCAGATTTTGATTGACATATTTCATACCAATTGTTAGACCTGTTTTTACACTAAACTTAACTACGGATTATTCCGTCTACCTGATCAAGACATAGAGCTCACAGCGGATGTGACCAGTCGACAGGGGATGCTTACTTCTCCTAGGCACCTGATCCTACCTCTGGAATTTCCAGGGATCCGAGTTCTATGCCCCAATCACAGATTTTTATTGTTTTCAGATTTTTTGAGATTGCTCACTGTTTGTTTTAAGATTTTTTGAGATTGCTCACTGTTCGTTTTCTTCACCTATTTCATCTTTACTCATTCTAGCTACTAAAATTTAATTCTCCGATAATTTTAAGAAACTCTTTCTAACATGTGGTCTTTGAGCTTCCTTTTTACTCTTGATACGTTATCCCCACATTATGATCATTTGAATGATTACACATAATAGATATGAAGACAACTGTTAGCCGGTAATCCTCATCTAAATAACACATAAACATAATATTCGTTATCTGGTCTAGTGTCCGAATCAATTGTTGGTTTCAAATGTAAACTTTCTTTAGTTCACTTCAGTATTGGATTTACATTTCACCAACATACTTGGCGTTGAAATACGTATTGGAAAAGTGAGATAGTTCGTTATAATGTTTTATCAACGATTCTTTAAAAAACAATACCTTCCACTTCTACTTATTATTCACACAACTAACATTAGTAAAACTAAATAAAACATCTCACCTTTTATTTAGAAACTTATGAAGTCTAGCGATAACAAAAATAGAGACACCATTTTTTTTTTATAAATAGATATTTATTCGAAACTTCAGTCCGTTTAATACACTAATGGCTGTATAAAACATGCTGATACACTAGATGCCAAGTCTTATTATGATACAGTAAAAGTAATATCATGCAAAAAGGGAGATATTGCTAAAAGTAAGGACTACTCTTTAAAGCTATATTAATGGCACACATCTACCAGAATAGTCAAAATTAGTCCTAGCCAACCAGTCTTTTATTGCAGCTTGTTTTGATTTCAGTTCTGAACTTGGACAAAGAAATTTTGGCAATTCTATATGATCCTCTGAGGTGATTTTATCGTCATCGCTTGTCAAAGGCACGTTTTCTTTTCCCACTGGCCCGACCTTTTTATTTTCATTTGATTTTGCGCTGCAAAGACGGGATTGGGTTACTTCCCCTGTGTTCTGTTGGTTTTCATCTGTTAGATCCTTCACAGACTCACTGGTTATAGTCATATCGTCCACCCAGCAATGAGGACCTTTTAAGGGTTTTTTGACCTCGGGCTCCTTTTCTATTTTCTCGGGCTCGGGAGGCGGTGGGGGTGGAGGTTCAGGTTCCTTTTCCTTCTTACCTTTTGCACTTCTATAATGAAAGGAAAATACAAAAATCAAGATGGTAATAACAGAATACTGTAAAGAAAATTCAATTTAAAAAAAAAAGAAAGAGAGAATTATTACAGACTGTCCCAGCATACTTTCTTTCATTAAATTCTATTGAAAATAGGTAATTTAGCCATTTTAACAATGTGTAGAAACATTCCACACCAAAGTCAGTGACCTCTCAGTTAAGGTTTATAAGGAAAATGAGGCATGTTTGTGTTTTTACTCGAGCTTAATAGTTGTTGATTTTATAGAAATATTTAGATAATATTAAAACCGAACCTAATGTCAATATGATATAAAAGCATTCAAGCTTTTCCTCGGAGTAGCATGCCTTTTGCAGTAAGTCTTACAGGATACTTTTAGGTTTCTTAGCATATGGGATTTATCGACATTAGTGCTCTTTTAATGAAGTTTTAATTTATTTCCTGGCTTTTGATGATGACCGCTGAGTCCATACAACAGTGCACCGCACTAACTAATGAGTAATCTACGGTGACTAAATGACTCTATGTAAAACAGTCCTAAACTGCTTATCACCCTTAATACTTGAGATTATAGATTTAAAATATAAGAAGATTTTATGTTGTAATGTACTCAGTCAATCTTTTTAATCGTAATTGTCTAGAGTGCTAAAGTTTCAAATTAACAATAGCCTTCTAATTTAATAAGGCAAACAATTGGTTTCTCATTTGCGATTGAACAAATTATTTAACATTATAAGTTTGAAATGCATAATGAATTAAGTTTTGATAAGTTTTCTATAATGTTACAATATGTTTATGTCTCCTTGTTTTTATGTAGATTCTTGTCGTAGATTTTTTATTATGTTTTATTGAAAAGAACAGAAACCTTATATGTAGCATACTGTAATGTTCCAACAAATGATCCTATCAAACCACACTTAGGACAGGTATAAAAGTGGGTGTACCTGAATTCATACTGTCCTTGTGGCCAGTATCAGATAGATCTATATCCTTAAGGTTAACTTGTGCGCCTCTTGCCTTCTGTCCTTTTTGCTAATTAGATAGTAGAAAAAGTTTGATTCACTCTTAGGGAAGGACGTATTTAGATTTTAGAATTTTGTCCGATCTCACTTATTTAAAGGCAATAAAATGTGTTCAAACCATAGAAAAAGTCCATAAAATGGCATTGTAATTTGGTCTGAATGAATTACTTTGCAATTAAGATTTATTGCTATAAATGGTTTGACATGGATCCGGATCTTTTTTTTATGAAATGTTATCATAAACGTTTTAAAATTGTATTGAAAAAAAAAATCATGTAACCAACATCAGCTGAGTTTAAAATTGATCGATCTTTTCATAAAATTTCTAAAGAAGCGGCTTGAGTAATTTTCTATTCCGAACAATAAAGACTTTTTTTTAAATGTTCACAAACTTTGTCCCCACTTACGTGTTCATTAATAACTCAGATCAGGATTTGTATAAAATGTGATACAATTTTACGCAATGCTACCTATTATAAGACGCTTTTGACCAATTTATTACCCCTAAGTTAAAATTCCTTAATATAATTTTCTTTTTAAATTGCAACTGCATTATGCGAAAACAGTCGCTAGTTTTAAAATTTTGAGCCTATCATGACAAGCTACATTAGTTTCTGTTTAATTGAACGAAGTTTATATACAATGTTAAGATATGAACTGCTCTTTGGTTACCTCTGACGATTAATTGTCAATAGAAATTATAACATTTTTTTCAAAGCAATGGTAGCAAGGTTTTCAAACTGACTGGGACTCAAAACATTAACAAGAAATTTGATGGAAAATAAACCCAGGGACATTTTAAAGTCAAAGAGATGGATCTCTGCTTCCATTGTAAATAACAAGGTGTCATAGGGTTATCATCAGAAGAAACAAATTTATCGAGATAAAACTATCATCAAGTCCAAAGAAAAATCAAATTTTAATTTTGGGATTTTATAAAAATGAAATTTCATTGTATATTAAGTAACATAGTTATTAATTTTTTTTTCTGTCCGAAAAAAATACGTATTCTAAAATATGTTCATCTAGAACTGCATAAATTAGAAATTATATTTAAAAAAAACATCATTATCCTCGTTCAAAGACCCCTTTTTGTGGGCCATGATAAACCTCCACGTTTTAATTGTAAATTTAATGATAATCAAATCTTAAATCTGTACTCATTTAACCAATCCAATTAGATACATACATGTCAATAGAGATAACAAATAAAAGGTTAAATTATTAAATTTGTGACAAATGCCTGGACTCTTTCATCTTTTGATATAAATCACTAAGTTGGATATTATTTCTCATCTTAAGGCCGTTACATTCCGCAGTAGTTATAGGCTTTAAGCGTCAATTTTGACACATCATTTGAAACTGAATAAGTCGGGGACTGCAAAACAATAAGTAATGAAAAGAAAAGTCTTCTTCAAATATCAGGGCTTTAATTTTGAAATTTTAATGGATTTATTGTTTATAAAGATATTAAAATACTGGCCGAGATCTTAGCACTTTCCATCAAATCACAATTGATATTGCCATCTATCAAAGAAAAACTTATACGGGTTATAAGGTCCTCTGGTGAGGCATATCTAGGCAATGTACACGTAAGTCTCAAGTATCAAGAGCTATTGGGAGCGAAGAATAAGATAGATCTTAAAATGGTATCCAACCTTTATTGAATTTTCCAATCATACAAATAGTCTTACGTTTTTTTCCCTAGAAAAAAAATAAATATGAGAAACTATCAATATTTACTTTTTTGTGAATGAATTGTAATTTTTTAAGATGTAATGATTGGGTTTTCAGTATTTCAATATCCTTTGTGTGAGGTATTCTTTCCGTTAAAAATAAACACAGGGGAAAACGATTTGACCTAACAAAGAGAAACATTTAATTTAAAATAAAATTACATCTGCAGAATATATATGTTAAAAGTCTCTCCTGTCAATTATATAATTTTTTTTTCAATGTTTGGACTTTAATAAGTCTTTTTGTTATCCTGCTAATGCGAGTTTATTCAGTTTCGTTTTAATGCCATATCGTGGAAGGTATTCTCTGAATTAATCCATTAAAGACTGTCTAACAGAACAGAAGAATTGGCAATGGTGTTCTGTAAACATCCGCACATGTTGCATGAAAATAAAAATCTTCGCCAAAACAATCCAGTCATGTACGGAACAGCTTATAAATAAGCAGGTTAGAATAAAAACACTTATGATTAAAGTGTGAAAAGTTGTCTCTTGGAAATCCTTCGGTTGCAAAATTGATTAAAATCTTTTCGAACACTATACGGACATTTCAGACAAAAGGAATGAAAATATTTAATGAAGAAATATTAAACAGCCCCCGTTACAAATTATTTTATGTACTTTATACATTAGTGAACTAATAAAAAAAAAAGTGAGAAAAAAAATGCATTTTTGAAAAAAAAATTCCTCAATTAAACAATTGACCAATCTTCATCAGAATAAAATGAACAACAACGGGGAACACTTGTACAACTTTTTTTTTTTAAATACAAGAAAATGCTTACTTCTTTGGGCTTTTCCCTCTCGCTTTCGGGCTTTTTCCACGGGATCCGCTACTTTTGGGTCGTTTTCCACTCTTTGGCTTTTTTTCTGGTTCTGGTGGAGGGGGTTCTGGTTTTGGTTCCTCCACAGGTGGGGGAGGGACGGTGTCCTCTTTTTTACTGTCCACAGAACTTATAGATGATTCTTCTTCTAAAGAATAAAACCTGATTTTTGACTGATCACAATGAGGCCTGGTATACGTGTATTCCGACTTAATGGTGCTGCTTTTGGAATCGCAGTCACTAAACACACTGTCCTGGGTGGTGCTATCATCCAGGTCAGGGATAGAGGAGAATTCAGACAAATTACCATTCAAAGGAACCAGATAATACTCGCTCGATGACGATGCTGTCGATCTTGCTGAGGAAGACATCGGCGTTATTACTCGGAAATCGCTGTTACTCTGAGAAAGAGTTTTGCGTATTTCTGATCGAATCTCGGTTGAACGTTCGTGTTTGAATTTGAGAGGAGGTTCTGAATTTGGACGCAATCTGATAGAATTCAAAATCTTACTTCGAGCATTGTACACAATGCTTCCGCTTCTCGAAGGACCTGTAGCTCCGTTTTGATATTTAGGGACATGGCCGGGTACTACAGCAGTGCTGGGACGAATCGCACTATTCTGTTTCTTAGCTTGGATCACAGTATCGAACATTTTATGGCTATAATCTCTCAAATTCTCACTATCTATTCTTGCTTGTTTAACCCTTCGTTCCAAATGTTTCCTGATATATTGTTGGGATTGAGCCATTTTCACTGAGTCTTCTTTAGTATGCTGCATTGGATAATTATTCAGAGTTCTCTTTTGTAACGGAGAATCTGAGGCCGGTTTCCTCTTTTCCTGGGCCTTCCCAGTCAACGCCCTTTGTTGTAGCTTCATCGTTGTGATTCTGAGGTCCCTGAGATTGGATGGTCCGTGAGCAGCATTGTTAGAGAGAACAGCCCAGCGTAATGAATCGGATTCCATGATTTGTTCTCTTTTTATCGTTGAATATAAACCCCTTCGTTCAAGGAAATGTCAAACAAAATATCTTCTGTGGACGGAAGTCATTGTCGCTTATCGGGTGCAACCTTTCAAATAACACGCAAAGAGGAGATCTATTTAACTAGAAACAGTCAGTGTACGCGCGCACAGATCCCTTTTTATGTGATTTAAAGGAATTAATCAAATGGTTACTCCATAATCTGAAAAAGAAATTCTATGTCAGCCAAAAGCTTAGTTCATTCTGATCGGTCGTAAATCCAAATAATAACCAGGTACCGTGAAGTATTGAACACTGTGATAAAAGGTACACTCTAAATATGTAACAAATGTTTGTTTTTCACTCAAGCAAAAAGATAACTACTTGTTAAGAACCGGTTGCAATCTACAGATGTGTTTCTTCCCATTGTAACTAGGGACGCCGTGTACATAATTCGTCCTTTAATGCACCCTGTCTTTCTACTTACAGAGATCTATCGGCGCGCTGTACAGGAATTGCAATCCATTTAACGTACGCAAGATAATGTCTTTTTAAATTTCTGTAGGGTCTAACTTGAGCTGACCCGATGAAACAAACAAGTATACAAGATACAGTTTAAAAGTACCACACTAAGGTCAATATTTGAACATATATGGGATTTTATGCTGTTAGACCTCCAGAGGAAATACAAACTTTCCGCTACTGTAAAGATGCATTCGATCCGATCATCAGCTTTCGTTGATAAAAGCCATCGATTTTTCTATTGTCATGATAGTGGCACTCATTAATTATTATCAATGATGACTTTATGACGTATGATTATGAGAAAATTTCAATTCTTTGTCAAAAGTACCGATAAAAAGATACTTCAACTGCAATGTCTGTGATAACATAATCATTGTGAAATGGTTTTTAAAGAATAGAAAATGCCCTGTTCACACGAACTTACTCTGAGGTGTGTAATTTTCCTGTTGGGCCACTATCGACCTTTTCGACAAATTGTGGAACTGACAACGTAGATATTGCGAATAAACACATTTACAATCCAGAATTTCATTATGCATGATATGGATTTATTGAGCGTCGATAGTCTACACAAAACAAACATGCATACATTGTGTGTATATATCCGTAAAGTGGTACCAAACAGTACAAAATTTATTGACTTGGTTCTCTCTCATAAAATTACCTTTTATAATGGATATTAAAGTATAATTTGTCTTTTAACTGTGAGTGGAAATGGCCTCGTTTTTAGACCGATTTATGCTTCTGATTAACTCATAATTTATTGTGTAAATTGAAATAATCACGTTGTAATTAAGTAGAAAATTGTCTGGAAAAATTCAAATTAACCGTGACTTGTTTTAGCTTATATAACAACATATTAAATCTATTTATCAAACTGGCTCGGAAGCAATCGGGAATTAATCGGTCAACATATCGATTCCAAACAAAAACCGTGATCCCTGAGAAAGGTTACAATGTTCATTTTTTAAGACAATGACTAATTTATGCATGGAAATGTATTTATTGACACTGTTTTCCAAGTAGATCTGTGAACAATATGCAATATTTTTGTCCATAACAAAATCAATTAATCGAGTATTAATTGAAAAAAAATATATTGCAACAAAAAATAAAGAGGGCCCATTGTATACGAAAGTTAAATAGGTCAACCTGTTAAAAATTATTGTGTGCACCATTCTGGCTAATCCACAGTACAATAATGTACCTCTACAATTAAGTGAAGCCCCTGACGTTACGAAGAGTAAAATAATAAAACAACTTTCATAACAAAACAAATTCCATACTTTTTTTTTTATCTTCTTTTGAAAGATTTCTATATTTTTTTAAAATAATTTATTTCACACTTTATATCCTTTTATTTACCTCATGATGGACTTGTAATTCTATCGTATGTCTGGGACCTAGAGGGCCATTATTCATGTCGTGGACATCTGTTTGTATACATTTTACCTCACGATTTACAAATATTTATGTAATCATTTTCCTTAACCTTATTTACTTTAACACATTTTGTGTAAACATTTTGAACATTATATATAAGCTCTTAGTACAATTATAGACGTAACCAAATTTGGTGCCAACACTTAAGACATCAAATTTCCTTTTAACACTTCAGACCTCTTGTAAAAGCTATTCTCTTTATTTTAAAACAACATTTGTACTTTGTCTCGTAATTTATGATATTCTTAGTGTTAAACATGAAATACAAATGAGTATTACTCGTTTTGGGTTTCATCTCACATGTTAAATCTTTATCGGCTCTGCCATGTACTTTTTGGTGTCTGACTTTCTGCAAGCATCAAAATACTTCAAAAAGAAAGAAAGAAAGAAAAATGACATGTGGTGTCAGCACAATATTATTTTATCCAAAGTCTGAATATCTCTTTTCATAAATCAAAGTGATTGTTAAATATTATAAAAATTCACTTGACGTTTGAGCAGTCCCAACACTTCTGAAGGTGATATTAAAAAGATGCTAGAGTTCCTTATTGACAACAGCTATGTAGTCTTTGGGGACTTGTTGCCCTTTTCACACACACACAAAAAATCTTACGACTAAGATAAAAATTTTACTACTCTGTAATTATTTTGTTTGATATGATATTATTTTTTTTCTAAAACATTTTTCACAATATATATATGTATTGCTATGTAGTAGGAATATAAGATTTTTGGTGACCTACTATAGCTTAGATACTTTTGGGAGTATTGGAATTTTTTGTCCTAATTGTAAGATATTTTATGAAAAGGTCCACAGGTCTTCAAACAATCTGTTGGAATTTCGATGGGAACTAATTGTGCTCCTTTCTTAGCTGTCCTGTTTTCATATTCTAGTGAAGCAGTATTCAGAACTTCTACATGAGAAGAAGAACTCTTGCTTTGGCTTTAACTCGACATTAATATATAACGACGACGTCTTATCAATTAACAACAGTTGCTTTCATTCATATGTCGACTAATATATCCCAGTGAACTCGAAATTAAAGGCAATACAGAGTCTGCCACATCTGTATCATATTTGGATATTTTACTGACTATAGACGATAATGGCCAACTACTAACTAAACTGTATGACAACCGGGATGACTTCAGCTTTTCAAACGCCGCCAACTTCCCTTATTTATATTCATGTAGTAATATTCCAATGTCATCTGCATATAAAGTGTTTAAAATATCTCCCACCTGATTCGATTCGCAAGAACATGCCTTCAATACGATTAATTTCTAATTAATTTGATGTTACAAGGATTTCAACAACCTCGTTTAAAGTAAGTTTTTCGCAAATTCAACGGTCGTTATAATGACCTTGTTTGTAAAAATTGTCTGACATGCTGATTTTGTTAGGTACCTTGTAATTTTGACTACGGAGTACTCCATATACCTGATCAATATATACGGCTCACGGCGGGTGTAATCGGTCAACAGGGGATGCTTACTCCTCCTAGGCAGTCGCGAGGTAAGGAGTTGATCCTTACGTCGCGGGTTCGAATCCCACTGTGGGACGTGGAGACCGGTCCTACGGAGGAGACCGTATAGACCGAGGTCCCGTGTCGCAGTAGGTGTTGGCACGAAAAAGACTCCTCACTGCTCAATGGCCGTAAGTGCCGAGCATAGGACAAAATTTGCAGCTCTCCACCGGCAAGTGGTGGCGTCTCCATATGAGTGAAAAATTCTCGAGAGGGACGTTAAACAACAAACAAACAAACAAACAAACTCCTCCTAGGCACTTGATCCAACCTCTGGTGTTTCCAGGGGTCCGTGGTTTTGCCCTGTTCCCGATTCGTTTTGTTTACTGGATTTCTGAGATCGATCACTGTTCGTAATCTTCAATTCTCTCTCTCTCTCTCTCTCTCTCTCTCTCTCTCTCTATATATATATATATATATGAAATGATAGCAAAAATATATCTTAAAACCTGAGTTTTTCGATTTCTTTTAAGACTAAATGATTAAGAAAATTTTTTTTAAAGTGTTTTGGATCAAATAATCCAATGATAATAAATAGCTTGCTTTTATTCATATGTGTGGAGAAAAACAAACACCAGTCTTCTCAGACAGATAAGATCAGCGACATAAGTGAAGATTTATGGAAAATCATTTCAATGCTTATGTAAATAATGCAAACTGTACATATCAATTTTACAATTTGATAAAGGTGCACTTCATTAGCACATCAATAGGACACTCTTCGCTTTAGAATGACGTACGACGCTTATTAAGAAGGGGCCATGGCACAGTACTACATGGCCTCATCTCTGATAAAGGTATGAGATAAAGTGAAGGTGATATGAGATATTTTTTAAAATATTACTGAGTAAGATTCATAGGAATTTATGAGAGTATCTTCTCAGCCTTGATACGTAAAGTGGAACATCTCACCTCATGTTATGTGTACTTTATTTAATAACATTAAACGAACAAAAGAATAGATCTATTATAAACAGGGATACATGTACAAGCTGATCTGTTTTGAGAATTGCTTTTTTTCAATAGAGAAAACATATCCATAAGAAACACAAGTAGATTACATATTTATCTCATAAATTATCTAAATGAATTATTATTCAAACGATAAAAGAAAGCAGCAAAAAGATATAATAATTAATAATAATTATAGAAGAAATAATCCTACATTGAAATAAAAAAGTAACAGTTATATGTCTTCAAGTCATTCTGTACTTACCACATAGGGTAAGGTTAGATCATGTTGTTCATATTTTCATAGTATTGCATGTCAAAGCATTGATATGATGGATCAGTTCAAGGTAAAAAAAATTTAAAACGACTGGTACCTATAAAAGTATAATCAATGACAAAGTACATATTCTTCCTTCCTAGCTTTATGTGCTGTTGTACAAGAACTAAAGATGCTTACGTTTCTTCCTTATACATATACAATATATGTATTTTGCTTTGATTTCGTTCACCTGAGCACATTGGCTAGGAGGAATCAGAAATCAGTTCAGTATTGAACGGGGTGGTGGGGGGGGGGGGGGACTTAAGTTTACACTACCTCAGGATGCTTCCATATCTATTACTAACCATGGCTTTGCTGTTCTTAAACAAGAATTTAAAGATTGTTTTCCTATGTAAAAATCTCTCAAAGTGGCCCCACCCTACCCACTCTGAATTTGAATCTTAATTACCTGAGGATGCTTCTATAATAATATGTCCCACCCTTTTCTGATGGCACGCATATCAGTGCCTGCTTTATGGTATGTTTATTTTAAAGGGGGTCAGTTTGCATAATATGATGCCAAAGATTTTTGTGTTCTTATAAGTTTTTCTAGTCTCTTCTGACCCCCTTACTATGTGTATTTTTGTTTTGCGTCATTTACTTAAATAAATGACATTTTTTCACTTTCAATACTGTTGTTATTTTCTTCTATCCATCAAAAAACTAGCTCAGTTGACTTGGCTTCAGACTTGCAACAATAAGGAACATAAATAATAATATGACTA